TGCAGTTTGCCTGTGCAAAGCTAATGGCCAAAAAAAACACCAAAAAAATCAGAAAATTAAAAACAAAACCTTGTACTCTTGTGGTAACATGATGTAAATGACTGTGATGCGTGTGAAATGAGTTTGTGCTTGAATGAAATCATCGAAATCACCCCACTAGTGTTGAATTGCATGGTTCTTCACAACGAGGTTAAATGTTTTGACTGACTTGATAGGCTTGGAATGAGCAACTCTTTTAGCAACAGTCTCTTTTGTGAGGATAGTGTAATGACTTTTGGTGAAGTAGTTAGGTGGAGAACATTGATCATTCGACATGTTTGGATACAGTGCTTACTTGCATCAATTGTGAGCTTTTGATTTTGCAACGAGTCTCTTTGTTTTGATGGTTTTATAATGGGGTGAACTGTATCTTTATAAAAGAAAACACTACCTGACAAGTAAAATATAAGAAAGTTGCCATAACAATTAAAGTGTGGGTAAAAATGCCAAAATCGTGTGAGGCAATCACTCATTGCACATGGGGATGAGGAAAGATTCAATTGAGAATCGGTTCGTGACCGTACGATGTTGCTTATCAAGTACGATCCCCGGTTGAGTGAAGTGTCATTTGAGGATGCAATGACCCTCCACACGGACCGAGGAAAAGGAGTTAAAAGAAGCCCTTATGCGAGTGCTAAGAAGCAGAAATTGCTCTTGCTCGGTCACCGGTAGTAAGAAACAAATCCCACTTGTACTAAATACGACCACTCGGCAAGCAAAAATCAGAAAGAGAGAAAGCCTCTCCTTGTCATAAAAGGTAGTGATGTGCTTAAAGTTAAAATCATGTTTGCGAAAGGCTTCCCCCATTAGTTTTTGAGACTCATGCTTTGTTAATTGCTTATGATTGGTGTCGCTAACCATAAAATAAAAGAGTTGAATGGGCCTGACCTACACGGGATTTGGCCATCAAGTAAAACAAATGAACATCATTGGTTTGCCATTCTAAAAGCGTTTGTAGGAAGGGTAGAATAGAGAGTGTCAATTTTTTTTCTATTTCCTCTATGGAACGGGCCAACTTACTGTACACATGCGGATTTAAACGGGTCCAGGAGTGTCAATTTTTTTCTTTAAGCTCTTTTATTTCTCCGTGGTGATAAAATATATATATGAAAAGGCAAAAACAATACTCCTTTTTATTTCTAAAAATAAAAAAATTTACGCATGGTATCTAATGAGCTAACCGCTAACCATAAAATAAAAGAGTTGAATGGGCCTGACCTACACTGGATTTGGCCATCAAGTAAAATAAATAATGTATTTTCAAGTTATTCAATGGTTCAACCTCGACCAACCCAATTAGTCCAATTTTTATAATTTCAAATATATATTATATAATTATTTGATATCATAATGATCAAATTATAGTGTATTTTACAGGGAATCGTTTGGTATTTGTTAGTAAAAAACTAAACAGAAAGATCTATTTGGTTATTCTAAACATTAAAACGATCCTAAACATTTTCAGTTCCTTTTGAATTTCTATGGTTTTATTTCCGAATAAGTGATGTGCAAATGGCGAATTACAGTCATCTCTTTTCTTTCACTATTTTTTATTTTCAAATAGGATGTTTAAAATTAAAGAATAATTAGAATTTGGCATGGGTCGATCAAACATACTGAATTTCAAGTTTTGGCCCGTATTGATCAAGTCTAATTTATAATCACAAGGTTCCCTGATACTCGATAAAAATCTCAATCCAAACCAGTTTGGCAGGTGAGTCCGTGTTTACCACCATTTTCTAGGGATACGATAACGACGGTTCCTAACCCAAATCGTGTTGTTCGTTCTTGATTTTCTTAGATTTTATCATTGTCTGACAAAAACCAGAAAGCACAATGCCGACAAGATAAAAGTTTTATAAAGCAAATTAATCGGTCAACGGGCCGAGTAAAACCTAGCAACGATTGTGAGATGCTCATTTCCCGAAAACTAACGAGATAGGCGATTTTTTATTCGATTTTCTGGAATTCGGTTTCTATAAAATTACTCCACCTCATCGTATTACCATAAACAATATTGTTTCACAAGGTAACATGTACTTGATTTTGGTTCATAAGGCCGATTTTTGATTCGTTTCATCATTCATGTCTTTTTCCTGCTAAAATTCATTATTTTTATCACGTGTTTCCCAAAAAAAACTATACAACAATAAGCTATACACCCCATTACATTATCAAATTTCATACCTCAACTTCTTCCGGCCAACTGGCCGGGGCCACACTAGTTGAGTAGATATGTTCGCAATTTCTCGGATTCGTTGGCTTCATCAATTTGAAAATCTCACTTAATTTGGTGAGATTTTAATAAATAGACAAAATCTCTAGTATTATTTGGGTGCAAATACAATTTCAGGATTTTAGGTGCATAAAAAAGTTGGTACCAAATTTGTGAGGTCTACGATATTTGGAATTTTTTTTATACCAAATCCGTTGTTTTTATGAGTTGGGAAATCCCACATAATTGGGTGAGATTTGAGAAAATGAACCAAACCTTGAATGTTAAAATAAATCAACCCTTCATAAACTCTTAACATCCAAATAACCAAAAAAAAATCTAAAAATCTCAAATGAACACTGTTTGGTACCAAATGAATAGAGAATTCATTTCATTGTAAAATGAATTACCATGTAGAATTCATTGTCAAATGAAATCTTGTGTTTGGTATGTCGTCATATACTCATATTCAAATCTTTACACATAAAATGAATTGTCATGTAGAATTCATTGCCTAGTGAATTCCTGTGTTTGGTACGTCATATGTATAAGTAATTTAGTTAATAAAAGAGGATAATTATGTCATTCTATTATAATTAGTAAATACTTGTGGAATTCATTTGGAAATTCCATCTCAATTCCTCGGAATTGCTATAAACTAGTTCCAATTCCATGGAATTCAAAATTTAGAATTGGAAATGAATTCTTTTAAATACCAAGCATAATATTAATAAGAATGTTTCATTTCAAAATTAATTCCTTAAAACTTATGTAATTCATTTATACCAAACGGTATGTAAATCTATCACCGATCCTTCATTTTTTTAAAATCTTCTGATTCGACACAAACCTTATTTTTCAAACGATCCAAACAATCCCATACTTTCCCCTTCCTGAATTCCTTACCTGTCTTTTTTGTGCAACAGAGGACGGATCTAGTCAGCCTCTGCAAGGCAAAGCAGTGGATTTCAGAATCCCCAACTCAAACCGCCAGCCCTCTGCTTAACGATGCAGCAAAGAACATTGCAGAATCCCCTGCCAGTGGAAATGATGGCTCTCTGCCTAACGATGTGCCAAATGATGACGAGAAGAAAGAAGAAGAGGAAGAAGAAGAAGAAGTCGTGAAAGAAGAATACTGGAGCTGTGGGCTGTGCAAGGTCGTCGTCAGCAGCGAGGTAACTTTTAACAAACACCTTGAAGGCAAAAAGCACAAGCGCAAGGAAGCTGCCGTGGTGAAGAAGCAAGACAACCCAGAAGGGATAATAGGAGCAGTCTCCGAGTATCAGAAGAAGTTCATGTTCTGGTGTGAAGCTTGTGAAGTTGGCACCCATTCTCGAGATGTCATGAGTAAGCACACCGGTGGGAAGAGACATGTCAGCAGGATGAAGGAGCTTGTTGCTCAGCCTTGGCTGTGATGTGAATTAGTAGCATAAGTTCTGGGATTTCAGAAGACATGGGGAAGTATGGATGGGGTAACGAGTCCGAGTTGTTGTTGTATCATTTTGATCGAATTGTGTGTTCGCTTGTGTTTGGATATTGGGTTAACGGATCTGTCTGGAACGGAAAGTTTTGTTCTGTTTGGTTCGAGATTGGATTCGGAGTATATTGGATGTTTTCGATTAGATTAAAAAAAAAATGAAAAATCATCATATCATTGACATTACCGAGACCGAAGGCCACGTAAATCCTTAGCTATGAATTCATTTAACTAATTAAGTAAAATACCAAATTAACTGCATATCCAACAGGGGACATATGATAACCAGAAATTCATGATTCAGAATTTCATGGCATGTGGCCATAATGGGCAACCAATCCTTGGAACCCTTTCAACAAGTTACATGTAAATTTTCAAGTAACAACTCATAACTAATCACCAAATTTAAGGTTTTCCAAAACTCAAATATTAAGATGCCACTATCTAGACAGCAAACACCTATTCTCGTATTCCCGTTAATCTAATATTTTTCATGTATTGTTTTCATTTTAGAGTAGCACCTGATCAAAAGAGATGATCGTTTTGTGTAAGAAAAGGTTGCAACCGACACTAATACGATTGTTTGTTTAACAACACTATCTCGTGAGGAATAAGGTCGGTAGATTTTGTCAAAGGCCAAAACTCAAGTCAAAATGATGTGTAGATATTTTGTATTCCTATATGGAAGTTGGATCAAGGCAACATTTGTCATCCATGGCAACCAATATATGTGTTGTCATTTGTGGCAAAGTAGCACACAAGAGGTAGAAATGAAATCCTTTGGTAGTAGTGGGCAGGCAAGCTCCACCATTTCCTCCTCTCCCTTCTTTCCCATCACAAAAAGCAAACAACAGTGACTCACACCACCATCTTTCCTTCCTGCTGTTTTGGGTTGGAAGGAAAACAACCAGTCCTCCAAAAGTCTCTCTCCCTAGTCTCCACCCACCAAAAGAAGAAAACTTTACATTGCCACAGCCAATCAAACCAATGCAGCAGTCTCCTTATCCTTTTCTAATGGACAGCACAACGAAAACCTCCCTCTTAAGCCGCTCTCCTTTCCCTTCTTTCCCAACTCCAACTTTTGTTCTTTTGTGCACTTAAGAAAAGGGTAGTTACTTTCCTTCGAGTTCAAGCAACCCAGCGGGCAGTTTGCGTGGAGGTAAGCAACCAGACAGAAAGCAACATCACAACTTCCCTTCCACAGAACAAGTATGTCACTGCAGAAATGGAGGAAGCTGACGCTGAAGGCAATCAAACCATGGCATTACCAAGGCATCGATGAGTGTAATCACAAGATTAAACCAATGCAGTTGATTCTGTCAGCTGCATCGGAGTTGGAGAACAGGTGTAAAGAATGGCAGAGTGTTGACACTTCCGAGAATCGGGTCCTTGTGGTGCTGAATGAGCTGTGAAATGATATGATCATATATGCTATATCACGGAATTGTTTTTTCTACTTTACAATGAAGTGGATTCTCTCATCTAGGGGTTTTGTTCTGGCTATTACAAGGTGAAAAAAACCAGCTTAAGAGGAAGGTAGTAAAGAATTATGTAATCTTTTCATTAGGCAGAAAAGAAAACCCTCACACTCTTAAAGCTACTGGATCCTGCCATGATATCTTCCTCTTCCCAGCCCGGCTTGGCACGTTCCCTATGTTCCTACAGGCTGACAACTTCAAGTCGTTGCTGTGTTGTTCATCGATGATTCCACCACGCAATGTACTTATTATCCTTGGTTCCTCTATTCTCGTTGTTGTCATCATCTCTCCGTTTGTCTGTAATTCTTCCTCTTCAGTCTGCAAAAGGAATTCAAGAACGTATAAGCCGCTAAAACCTTATTCAATTGGACTGAAGTAATGTTTGTTACGGAGTGACAAAATGATTAGTACCGAGATTTGGTTCAAGTCGAAGAATGGAGCATTGTTTCTAGTAGCAGCATCCTTCCCTCCTAACATCCTTTCCTTCTCATTAAGGTCAGGAATCACTCCGGAATTCCTCATGGCAGCTTCTCTTCCCATGTGAGAGGAATTCTGTTGCTTCTGGTTCAAGTCAATCGACGGTGCTGCTGAAACCCGGGCTGCAACAGAATCCTTCTCAGTATAAACCCTTCCTTTACGGTTCAAATCGAACTTCGGAGCAGGCTGCCTCGAAGAAGCAGGAGTTTCATGGTTACTAGAGTTAGTTCCCTTGTTTTTCCTCACTTTCTTGCTCTTGTTGATCACTGTGGTCTGTGATGGCAAGAGCTTTTGCTCCGGCTTAAGGTTCTGAGTCTGGTTTTCAGTCAAGTACTTGAACCGACGCCTCAAGAACCTGCATAAATGGCTGAACTGTTAGAACCATATCGCATACAAACAATTACAAACGCCAATTTATCACAGAAGAATACATGAGTTGATTGCACACCTCACTTCAGCCATTAGTGTCATTTTCCTCTGCTTCATCATCTCCAACCTCTTCCTCTTCGCTTCTGTTTCCTGATAAATGAATGATTCAAAAGGCTTAGAATGTTGTTTTAGTGAAACACTAATGAGAAAAAAGGTCTTAACACTAGAAAATTAGCTGAATTTGTACAAAGGTAACATCTTTATACTGAATTACAAAGTACTAAACAACTAATAACATGAAAATATGGTAATCAGCTAATCCATACTTCAATTTGAGCTTAAGCTAACTTATTCACAGTAATCTGAACAACATATAGAAATCACAGACTCCAAAAAAGAATTCCCCCTTTCCCACAATCAATATAATTTCCTCCAAAAGCCACAAACTTTCTGACTAAATCATGAAACCCCCCAAAATCCAAGCAATCTGCAGGAACCCAGATCCAGGGAACATACGATTTCACACACCCACCAAAGAAAAAAACACCAAACGCGGATCTACTGATCGAAACATATGAAAGAAACCCTAGAGGAAAAGCGGATTACCTTGAGCAATTCCTCATAGTCCTGCATAAGGCTCTCGTGCTTGAACCTAATCCTGGGATCATCATAACCAGCTCCAGCAGCAGCTGCCACGGCATACGGCGAAGGAGAAGATCCCACAACCACAGCAGCAGCAACACCTTTCATCTTCTTCATGTAGCTTCTCAGATCAAACCAATACAAGATCTAAAGGGCAAGGAGAAGGAAGAAGAACGGAAAAGAAGGGAGGGTAAGAGAGGGGGAGAGAAAGAGAAATGAAGGCGAGAATGAGAGAGACAAGAAAGAAAAAAAGGGGAAGGAGAGTGAAAGAGATAAGGGAGGAAGGGAGGGGAAATGGGGGTGGGAAGGTGAGAAGGTTCTCGCTTTCCTTTTCCCTGTTTTCTCTGGTGAAAAACTCTGACCAGGACAAAGAAGAAAACCCAAAGAAGCCCACATAATTCGGCTTGTGAAGGGAAAAAGAAATAAAATTTCTTGGTGGTGGTGGTGGGAAGAGGGGTTTAAAGTTTCTTTCTTTAATTTTTGTTTGTGACAGACAGCAGCAGTAGGAGGAGTAGTAGAGGTGGTGTGATTGTATGAGAAGAGGGAGAAGCAAAGCAATAGTAGTAGTGATGAAGATGGGGATCTTTTGGGGGTTTGCAGAAGGGCATTTCTGGGATATACCCACCTCTCCATTTATTTTGGGTGGTGGTTTTTTGTTTGTTGGGAGATGGGAACAGAAGAGAAGAGAGTTGAATTGAATTGAGTGCTTGGCTTCTTTTTTGTTGTTGGAGATGATGGTGGGTATGGTTGGATGGAGGAGGACAAACAGCTGAAATACCATCCTACAATCTCTCTCTCTCTAACCTTTCCCAATCATCTTGCCTAGAGAGAAGAAGGGCAAATTTGTTTTCAATTTCCATTTGGTGGGTTTTCTTCCTTTCCTCTCAAAGCTCAAGTCTTGGTCCAGCTGGGCCATTGAAGCTAGACAGAGAAAGCTGAAAGAGGAGATTTGCTTGTGGACTCTTTCATGAGAGAGAGAAAGGGGTGGTGGCTGGATGAAAAAAGCAAAGCAGGGGGTGGCTGCAAAAGTGAAACAAATTTAAAAATATGATGATGATGGAAGGATATGGAGAGGGCAGGGAAGGAGGTGGCAATGGTGGAGAAGCTTTTTCTGTTCTTTCTGTGATGTTTGCTGTTCTGTTGTTGTTCTTCTTGGTGGCCAGATCTCTCTCTCTCTCTCTCCTTTTGGATTTTTGGACTGTTCCTCAAAGTTTTCACCATTTCTCTCTCTTGTTGTGCAACATTCATTGCTAGGTGGGAGGAAGATGCTGTTATGGCATTGTATTTATCAGTAAACAACAATTGTTGGTTGTTTAAGGTCAGTTTCCATGTGCATTTACTCCCCTAACCCTTTCCTCTTATGAGTCTTATCTTTCTGTTCCATCTTTCCTTTTCCTTTATCTACTCTTTTCTTGCTATCTCCCTTTCTCTGCTTGGCCTTTTCAACTAGAAATCCTTATTTTCTGTTTGGAAAAAGTCTGATTCATTCCTTCTTTTTTTTGGAATAATTAATTAGTTGAAATTATGTATTTGTCATTAAAATTTGATTCTTTAACAGTTAATCAACTTTAAAACTTTATGAGCATAAATACTTTGATCGTGGATCGTTGTTATTTTGTGTTAGCGGTTGAGATGAATTCTTGTTAAATTCCATTATAAAAGAAAAATTCACGGGAGAACCACAATTTGGGTACACTTAAATCATCATAGAAGAATAAGTATGCTGATAAGTGTTTTCCTCGAGAATTGCAAGAATGGAAAACATAGTATCTCGTAGTTTTCAAATTGGGACACTGAGATCTACTCGAGAGTAGCAAGCAAAAGACTAATAGCCGGTTCGAAGCCGCATGTACTATTACTAACAGCCTGTTTGGATATAATTCCGGAAGAAATGGAAATGGAATTCAATTTTTTATTTTTATAGAATTCCATTTCCAATTCTAGTGTTTGGTATAATTCCTACAACTATGGAAATGAATTGCACTTTTAACCATAATGAATAATGTAATATGTTTGTTTTATTTTGGGAAATGAAATATGAATGAGAGAGAAAGAGAGTAAAATGATAGTGGGTCAACAAAATAATAAAAAGTATTGATGGGTCCCACTAATTCAATCTTCATTCTCTCAATTCCTATCACAAAGTGATAGGAATTGTAATTCCCATATTTTAGACCCATTGAAATTCAATTCTCAACCTTTTTATTATTCCAAACATAATATATGGAAATGGAATTGGAAATGGAATTCCAATTCCTTACTTTTTTGTCAATCCAAACAGGCTGTAAAAGTTCAACCTTTGCAAGAGAGTTCACACGGGCGGATATCATTAGCAACCAACATTAGATGTTGTGAGTCAATGGGAACTAACACGAGCAGAGTAAGAGATTGAATCTACCAATTTTCTAAAATTCCATGACTCTTCCCGAACATCAAACACATTAATATGCAATTTCGATACTCCACGTGCCATTTTCATGTCAACCTTGTTGTACATTGTTTACATCGTGGATTAACAATGTTCCAGTTCAGAAATTTAGTTGAGAAATTTTGTACATAAGTAGTTACTACAGCCACCCTCTGCCCACAAATCACCAGCTCAATCCTAACCATAACTATCCACTGGATATGCATAATCCATAAGCCATTTCCTCCATCACCATTACCATTAGAGTCATTGAAAAGGGTGGTTTCAACTCTCAGGCTAACTCCAACCCATAAAGGGGAATTTAGCTCCCCAAATGGCCAAATATGGCTTTTTAGCTCCCCAAACCCACTTTTCACTCCAACCCTATAAAAAGCTAAATTTAGCTTCCCATTTTCTTTTTTCAATTTATTTCAATAAACCATACTTATTTGACCTCTAATTTTTATATTTCACTTTATTTTTTCATAGCTCGTTATTAGTTTTGAATACAAATTTTTCGATGTAATTTTTTTTTAAATTCTGAGATAAATTTTTTTCCCAAAAATTAGTCGTTAAAATATTACCGTTAAAACTTCGGGACCACTCCAAATATGACCGTTTTTTTGTATCCGTTACTTTACGACCGTTTTTTTGTCATTTTTTGCACCAAATGTCTTTATAAATGACAGTTCTTCATTTTCATCAACTCAACTAAAACTTCTTCCCATTTCTAAAACAAACACATTCATCATGAGTATCTCAGATAGCTCATCGTCTGGAGAAGAAGAAAACGAAGAGTACGAAAGGTTTCACCACCTACATTTGAGTTTGATCGGTCGGAGGCTGGCTGAAGGTGCATCAAGTCGCCGTCAAACTACAAGCCGAAGTTACATTGATCGTGAGAGGGTCGAATGTAATCGACGTCTTATGAGGGATTACTTCGATCCAAATCCAGTATACAATGCTCGCATATTCAGAAGGCGCTATCGGATGCAGCCAAGATTATTCCATCGCATTATGGGCGACATTGTGAGGTTTGACCCCTCATTTAATTTGCTCTAAGGCGTGATAGCTTTGGTCAATTGTCACTATCTCCAGAGCAGAAGCTTACTGGTGCGATGCGCATGCTAGCATATGGTTCTCCAGCTGATCAACTTGATGAGTATGTTCGTATGGGTGAGAGCAACTTGATGGAGGTCTTCAGAAAGTTTTGCAACAACATTATCAACATGTACGGGGCCACATACCTTCGCGCACCTACTCCTGCTGATTTAAGGATCTTACTCCGTAAAGCCTCAAGTCGTGGCTTTCCTGGAATGATTGGATCAATTGACTGCATGCATTGGGAATGGAGGAATTGTCCAAGTGGTTGGGCAGGACAATACATCGGCCACATGCATAGGCAAACAATCATTCTGGAGGCGGTGGCCTCCTACAACACATGGATATGGCATGCTTTCTTTGGGACACCTGGATCGAACAATGATATAAATGTTCTGGGGATGTCTCCAGTGTTTGATCGTATCGTCAATGGAAGCGCTCCACATGTACGGTTTGAGGTAAATGGTCATGCTTATGATCAATGTTATTATTTGGCTGACGGTATTTATCCCTCATGGTCGACTTTAGTGAAGACCTTCAGCAATCCAAGGTCAAACAAAGAGGCTTTGTTTGCTCAACATCAAGAAGCACACCGCAAAGATGTAGAGCGGGCATTTGGAATCCTCCAAACAAGATGGGCAATTGTTCGTGGCCCTGCAAGAGCTTGGGATGTTGTCACGCTTAACAATATAATGCTGACGTGCATTATATTACACAACATGATAATCGAGGAGGAGCAGGTTGATTCTGATGACGAGATGGATGATGACCTTGATTATGAGGTCCATGCACAACCTGAACCAATCAACCGACACCAATCAACTCTAATTGATTACTTGGCTAGAAATAACAGGCTTCGCTCATCTACAACACATCATGCGCTTAGAAATGACTTGGTTGAGCATCTTTGGAATTTGCACGGCAATATCTAGCATTGTTTTACTTCGTGTTGCTTGGTTGTTTGTATTTCAAGTTTCAGTGTGTGATTGTATTTCATGTTGCTTGGTTGTTTGTATTTCAAACTTTCAATAACACTTGTTTTTATTAAACATGGAATTGCTCAAAGTTCAAAGAGTACACATGACACATGAAAATAACAAAGCTGAAAGAGAACACACAACACATTAAAGATGTAAAGACAATAGAGTACAAATAGGATCTTCTTCTAATTAATAATCCATGACAGGAAAGTAATCGCCATCTCCTCCACCACTTGCATCGCCATCTGCCCATCTCCATCTCCGCCATCACTTGGATAAGAGTTGGGATCATCTTGATCGTACCCATAAATGTCATTTTGTTTACGCCTCCAAAATCTCTTCTTTCTTGGTGTCATCTTTGACAAATCCTTCTCCAGAATAGCTACATTTTGTTGAAGTATTGCAGCTTCCCTCTCTTTCTTCTCCACAGCCCACTTTTCCGCTTCACGCTCCCTCACTTTCCTCTTGTATGCCCATTCCTCTTTCTCCTGCTCTAGTCTCCTCTCTTGAACATTCATTTTTCTGTTTTCATACTCCATCCTCGACTTTTGCCTCTCTCTCATATCATTACCAAACTCTAGCAGTTGAGTAGTGTATATGTCTGACGATTCAGCAACTACCTTACCTTTCTTCTTTGCTGCCTTTTGTTTGTCGCGTCCTTCAGGGCGAGTCAACACGAAAGACGTAGCTCCTTCATCTGGTAAGTCATCAAGGCCTTCCACAGGAGATGATTGAGAACCAAAACCTGTGGGAGAACTTTGGGAACCTTACCCCATAGGTGGAATGGGACTAACAAGCAAGTCAGGATTGGAGTACCACTTTGGACAATTTCGGAGAATGTCGAAACAATGCTCAAAATCAAAAGCCTTGTTCCCATTCTCTTGCTTATATATTGCTCTTGCCTCCTTTTCCTAATAAAATATGTAATACATGGGTTAGAGAAGTTTTTATTGACACATAAAAAATAAGAAAATACACAAGTTGAGGGTCCAAAAGAATACCACATCAAACTGGTTCATGCCACTCGATTGATGCCTTTGTGCTCTTTGCAAAACTCCCTTCCAAGCATTGCAGTGATAGCAAATAATCCTCATTCGGGATTCCATTGCAATAGCAGTACGAATTGTAGTAGGATCCCATTTTTGATGTTCTGCCGCCACTCTTTCCCACAACCTTGTAGACTTCTGGTTGGTGCCAACCGCTCCATCTTCTGATATCGACACCCAAGCTCTGCACAAGATTTCATCTTCATTCGGACGCCAATTAGGTCCTCTCTTGCCTGTCATATTTCTATTTTGAGAGACGATAACAATTGAATTTTGAGAGAATGCGATTTATGCTCTGAGAATGAGTGAAGAGAAATCTATGAAGAGTGCTGTAATATATAAGAAAAAATATGGCCGTTAAAATATGACCGTTTTTTATGGCCGTTAAAATATGACTGTTTTTTCGTCACTACATCAATTATTTCAAATTTATATTTCAAATTGAATCACAAACAACCAATGAGAATAGAGAAAAAAATCCAAAACAAATTGGCAAAACAAATTCCCAACCAACAAAAGTTAAAAGAAAAAAAAACATTCCCCCGCGCGCGTGCGCCCTAGGCGCGCGTCCGGCGCCCTCCTCCGCCAGCTGACATGCTGGCCACTTTATTGGCAGCCAAATTTCACTCCCCACCCAAAACCCAGCCAAATTTCACTCCCAATACCCATTTTTTGCTTCCCATTTTTTTTTGGGTTGGAGGAAGAAAAAAAGCCAAATATGGCTTCATAGCATTTTGAGTGGTTGGGTTCGAGCTAGTCTCAGTGCTCAAAATCCCACAGTATTCCCACTAGCCAGAGCACCACATTGAGCTTGGAAATAAGGCATGGATATCATTCCCAGAAGATATCTTTCTCTCCCTGCAGATTCCCACATCTGCCTTATCTCTCTGCATCCATCAAGTTCCAAGGCTTTTTATTGCAAGTTGCAGCAATATATCTAGACCAGCCATCACCATGTTTTGGGCAAAGGAAGGATAGGGACAAAGGAAATGTGGCATCTATACATTCATGGAAAGCACCTTCTATTGGTCATCTTTATTTATTGGGTTGATCATGCGTGACATAATGAATCACAATATATGGGGAAATTAAAGCTGCTTGCTTGTGGCTTCTTTCCAGTTTTGGCGTTTAAGTTTCTGCCTTCTCTGTCTCCACTCTCCAAAATCAGGATGGCACTTTTACCTTACTTGCTCACAAGAAATGGGTTGCTCTCAACTCGAAACCGTTCGGACTATCTCGACATCAAGTAGGTTGGGACATGTCATAACTCATATGTTTAGAAGCGATAACTATAAAGATACTTGTCTTTTCTCTCAAAGAAATGTATATTCGATTATGTAAATTGAGTTGAGAGAGTATTATAGCATGTTTTCAAATGAAGTAGGATACAAAATACTGTAATTGTAACTTATAACTTACCTACGGTATCTTATAGCTTTATATTATCGTCGAGAAAGTTGTGCAGCACCACACATCCAATGCATTATTCTCTCCTAATCTAACTAGGATAAATCGAACCTTTTTACAATAAGAAATCAAATCTACGATAAACTTCGATCATCATTATTCGTCGACTAAAATCAGAGTAATATATTATTTCAGTATTTAGCACGCAAGAGCTATCTATACTATATATAAAGCAGATTCATGTGTTGAATTTTCTTCATTTCAAATTTCGAGCAACCAGAGTGAAAATAGGAAGAGCATTTTTATCTTCACAATGACTTATTTGTTTTGTATAAAAATATATCAGCACCAATATTTGAACCATCTATCTATACTATATATAAAGCAGATTCATGTGTTGAATTTTCTCCATTTCAAATTTCGAGCAACTAGAGTGAAAGTAGGAAGGGTATTTTTGTCTTCACAATTAGTTATTTATTTTGTATAAAAATATATCAGCACTAAGATTTGAACCATGGTCTCTTTAAAGTTTAAACAAAAACAAGAAACATAACCAATTACACTAAACAAATACGTTGTATACTTTCTATTATAAAACATACACAAAGTTAAAATCTGAAAAATAGATGACTTTTGCATAACGATAAACTAGCTGACTAAATTTCCTGTAAGTATCTTTATGGTGTTTAATACTTCAATTTTCATATTTTAGTTCTAGACTATCCTCCAATTATCAAACCAAGCTACACATGAATGAAAAAGTAAGTTATCAGTATTCGAATAAAATCCCCAATCTTGAAGATTCCAATATCATTTTCGCTTCCATAATATATATATAGTACTAATCGTTGGTTACAATTTACTTCAACCTAATTTTGTCCTTTAGATTAATCTAACGGCTTTATTAGGTCGTACTAAAATAACAATTTAATATGATTTGGATTACGATCTAAAAAATCCCAACCATAGAACCATTTATCGAACAAACATGTATTTTTAACAACAATATAGTTATTTTTAACAATTATGATATTAGTTTTAATTATACGAGTTAGTACCATTTTGTGTGATGTTAACAATTATCATGATCGACATAAATGTTCATTTATAAAATAATTTATTAATGATATCATGAACATTAATAATATGAACAAACAACATTAATAGATAACTGTGATATTGGATCATACTGTTAATAATGAAATGATGTATTGTTAATAATCTACAAATTGAAACTTTTCCAACATAAGCAAAATCGTTAACCATATATATCTCATACGAACGGGAAGCAGCCAATAAACGAACCGTCACTGAAGCAAATAACACTAAAGTCTAGATATCAACAGTTAATAAACGAAGCTTCCAAACTTTGACATCGATTGCAAATAAGTCTTAATTTACATGAAATACAAAATAAATAGACACCATTTACTTTCTAAATATCGTTATTAGTTATTTATATTTGTTATTCATTCCCATATTTTTTATCTATACCGAAAAATTACATATTATAAATGTAAACAACACGTCAAAATATATAATAATCAAACTCTATCGACAGGTCCCGGTACTAGTGAAATCAAAACTTTTTTTACAATAAAAAATAAACAAACTTCTTAGAGCTATTGGATCGAGCAGCTCTATCACGTCCTTCTGTTGGGCTTACATGAAGGCCCAGACTCTGGAGCCCATGCTGGAAAAAATAAACAGACAAAGGGAGACAAAACGATGAAAACTCTCGCTCTATCCTCGGAGGAAAAATCTCCTCCATTCTCCCTCTCTATCGACAATCGCTGCCGGGAAAATCAGAAATGGCGTCAACGAGCGCGGTGTCAGCTCAGCTGTCGAACGTTAAGGGACTCTGCGATTGGAGAAGGGCATCCTCCATGCCCGCAGGTTAGCGCCGTTCTCTCTCCCTCTCCCCTTTCCCTTTTTTTTACCGATTCGGTTGTGCTGAGCTCGGTTCCCGAGGCTAAATGGCGGTCTCCCTGATGAGAAAGGACTAAACTTTTTTGGAATTACGGAATTTAGTTAAGATGGTTCTCATAAAAGATTGGTGGGTATTGAGCTTGCGGCGGATTATGTGGGGGATGGCGCATCTCTGTTAAAGAATGCGTTTTGGCAGCTTTTGTGAAGTGGGAAGCTATGTTCGTCGAAATTGGTTGTTGCTTTTACTCGAATTGGTTATTGTGGCTTTGTTGTGTTCACTCTCACTCGCAAATTTTGGTTTCTGATGGATGGTGGAGATGGTTATTCCTGTTTCGGTTCAAGGGCTCCGTACTTGCAAGCTTGTTTTGTGGAATCATATATAGTACATTCATGTGGCCCCTTATCGTTGAAGGATGGTAACATTTTCTTATGCAATGCCTGATTACAGGTAACTTCAGTGCAAGTTCACTTGGTAAGCTGGCTGTATCATGGCCAAGCACCCAAAGATATCGGGTTAGTCATCGATCTCTCCGAGTACAAGGTCTATTTGGAGGAAAGAAGGATGGTGATAAGGGCGATGATGGAGCTTCAAAGGTCGGACATTTCACACTTTCTCTCTTGCTGAACAATATATGGAGCTCATAAGTTTTTCCTGAATGTGACTAATCAGATCATAGTTATGTATGAAAGGAGAGAACCATATCGCTTTCTAGCAACCTATGAACTATGAGTATGTTTGTTGATTCAATCATTATGAGACTAACATTTGCTTATGCCGCTTTAGGCAGGCATCCTGGGGAACATGGCAAACTTGTACGAGACAGTGAAGAAAGCACAGATGGTTGTTCAAGTTGAGGCTGTTCGTGTGCAAAAGGAACTTGCTGCGTAAGTGCGATGACACCAACAAAGCTTTCACTTTTGTTTACTTGCATATGTATCATTCGGTATTCAGTTTTGACTTTTTGTCCTTTCTTCTGTCTTCGCAGTGCAGAATTTGATGGTTACTGTGAAGGCGAGCTAATCAAGGTATGCTGTTTATTTTTTACTTTTTATCTGAAAGTTTTGCTGAGACTGGTTTGCCAATAATAGTCGTTTTCTCTGGGATGTTTTTACCAGGTAACATTATCAGGGAACCAACAACCAGTACGCACAGAGATCACTGAAGCTGCCATGGAATTAGGTGCAGAGGTGAGTACTCCAAGTTCTTGTTCAAAGAATCCATTTGTGCCTTTATGGATGTATGCCAGCTGATCCAGCAAACTTGGGTTTTGAGTGTATCAAGATTATTTTACATCGTTGAGTGATCATAATGAACGATGGAAATGCTTGTTCTCTACTGCAGAAACTCTCACTTCTAGTAACGGAGGCGTATAAGGATGCACACCAGAAGAGCGTCTTGGTAAACCTCCCTTCATCATTTGCTAAACAAATTATGTTCCTTTCCCTATAAACAAAACGATAACTTATGCTTTGTGGCTTTTTCAGGCCATGAAAGAGCGAATGAGCGATCTTGCCCAAAGCTTAGGGATGCCTCCAGGTCTTGGTGACGGACTAAAGTAAAAAGGTGGCACTTTGATCTCCTGCAACGATCGGTTTACTCCAATGCAACCCTTTTAGAGATTGATTTGTATAATGGATAGAGGTTTACGATCTTATTCGCCTGAATGATTGTTTACGTGTTTGAATCGGAGTAAGTAGTGAATCCTAGATACAGTTTTTGTCTACTCCCCAGTTGTTGCAATAGATAAGAAAATATTCCAAGGTGGTGTAGTTTTCAGCCATCTGTTTAATCAGAATTGCTGCCATATTCGTATATGCAGCTGTTTCAGGGTGTTTATCTGTATTAGGAGCTATCTACTAGGGGTTCATCTTTGGCATCAAGTAGGAGAAGGCAATTATGTCGATGAAGCCTGAAATAATCAACATAGTAGCCGCTCTTTCTATCGATGTTTGGTTTTCCATCTAAATCGTCTAGATTTGTGAGTTAATTCACTCCAAAGTTGGTAATAGAAGAGGTCGTGTATGTCTCAAATAATTCATCTTGCACTTGAGTAAAAAGAAAGAAAGGATAAAAGTGCAGACAGATGGTACCAACTTTTGTGAGTATCATCATACAAGATAGACATGAGTTACCCTACTTCTTCTCAACATTGAATGATCCTACTATCTCATCTTGCTTCCTAGCTGACCCCTCATAACATAACCCCTACTTTCTCTCTTTACTTGTGGAACACAGAAATTTCTAGCAGAGCTTTTATCTGGATTGCTCCACAAAGCTCAACAGTATATTGGCAAAGATCCCTCCTTTTTCATTTTTCTCCTTGTACATACATATGATCAATTGTTTATGTAGCTTTTTTTATGGGGAGAAATGTCAAGATCTTGGTAGTTGTTTCCCAGCTAAGAAAGATCTGAATAGAATGAAAGCCCTTCTGGGTTGAAGTAGTGGCACTTCATGCCCTGCTCCTCTCACTGTTGCAAAGGTCAGCCCTTCATACTCTTCTGTCCATCCCCCAACCTGTAAAATAGAAGGAGAAAGTGAGAAGATTGATTTTATGGGTGGCAGAAGGGAGCTTTTACCACTTTATGTGCAATTTTCACCCCACCTGGTTTCCAGATTTCCATGGATACCATCTGGTTTTGACTGTGAGGTTCAGATGGCTGAGAGAGAACCTTGTTGCTGTCACTGGCACTACCGAATCTGTATCCCCACTGCCAAAACATGATCAAAGTGGTGAATTTAGAGATTCAAAGTATACTTACTACATAGAGTAAGCATGATAAAATCATACCGATTTGTTCTTCGCTACGTGGATTAAACAGTAAAACATAATAATACGGTACAGTATCATAAACACGGTTTTTTTCGTAGTCAATACATAATAGATGATAAGGTGTGCATTGAATGATGGAAATGGATAGGGATTTTCAGCAAGGAATGACTGAGGGGGGACTCTCTTTGAGATGACTAGTGATGAGACACTGCAGACTGAGACTTTCCATCCCTTTCCTTTTATTTATACACAAGAACAACAACCATGCAAAATTCTGGATGAATTTGCAAAAAGAAAACCATTCAAACTATTTTGTTTAATTTGCCTCAGCCGACAGTCTGAAATGTTGGTTCAACTATCCAAAATGGCTACATAACTTTAGCATTTGCACAAAATAGTCACATTTAATCGTAACTTTCAACTCGTAACAAAACGATCATTTTCATCGAAAAGTTTACCTGAAAACCCAAATCCTCAAACCAGCAGCCATAAGCTCCTTGTAAGTAGGCAACATCGAAGAATCAGAATCCTTCCAGTACCTAATCAGCGTATCACTGCAGCAATATCCACCCCAACCCAAATTACAAGTTCAGTCCCTTAATATCTTCACCTCACCATTTCAGTACCCAAAAGAAAGAAAAAAACTAAAAAACAGTACCTGCAAGCAGTCCATTTGTAAGGAATCCCAGGCACATCGGCGTGCATTGCCTTCTGCACATCTCTCCGATTATAATACTTCTCGGCATAGCTCTCGGTGCAAGGATCGTACCCCGAAATGGGCCGGTGAAGCACCGTGCTCTTCATCCGGAGAAATCTACTGCTTGTCACGTTCTCGTTGCTCTTGGGGTGCTTGCACGAAGGAGTGTAGATGCTGTACTGATCGATGTCGCCGAATTCGTGGTTCATCGCGTACCCCACCACGTCGTCGCACTGCTTCGAGGTCTTCTCCGCCGCGAAGTTGCAGTGGTTGAGGATGGACCGGTAGGTTCTGTCGGAGATCATGGAGTGTGTCCACCAGTAGGTTACCGTGCCGATCCCGTCGTAGTAGTTGTCCGTCACGGCGTTACCTACCTACATGTGTCGCGATAAATGTGTAACGAAATTTTGTTATAAATCGAGTCGAGCTGAGTTCGAACTTTGGGGCCAATCGAGACACATTATTACCATGATTCCTTTGAGGTTGATGATGGGTTTTTTGTTGGAGTAGTGTGCTTTGTTGTAGTCATGGATTTTCTTTGCTAGCTGAGGTACATAGTGTCCTACAATGACAAAACATACATGTTTCGACGAAATTCATGCTTAGTACACACGTTAGTCAATGACTCACATCTCCGTCGTTTGAGTTCCAACAATGTTATGTTGTATGTTTAGTTTTCTACATTACATTATGTTATTTTTGTCGACACATGTGTCATACAAGTAAGCAATGATTTGAGACATGGAAGCACTCTACTAATAAAAGGACTATTTGAAGCATTACTCTTAACAAACGAATAAACGATATAGTGCGAACTAGTATTTTACGATTAAAATACGATGGATTATTACCGGCATAACTTTCGCCAGAGATGTAGAACTCTCTGTGCTTGTACTGAGGGAATCTTGACATCCATCTGAGGAGGAAAACCAAAGCATCCTGAGCTGTGTCACAGAGAGAAACATTTTATTAAACTAACAGAACTTTAGACAAAAAAGTTATTATTGCATATATAAAATTGGGTCAAACAAGTAAAGAAAAAATAAATATGGTGATGTAATGGTAAATATACCCGTCCTTGCATCACCAGAATCTTTGAGGTTAGAGCTTGTGTTTGTGTAGGAAAATCCAACTCCAGCTGGTGATTCCAGGAACAGAATATTTGCTTCTGTAAGCACCCAACAGATATACATCATTATTATTTATTCTTTAAAGGACCAAAAGGGGCAGAAAGGGAAATTAAGAGGACTGATAATGACCTCTATTCCATGAGTACTTGTTGAGGAAGAGGGAAGAAGCAGTTTTGTTAATCCTGAAGGGACCAATCTCTTCTGAAGCTCCATAGGCTACTGATGAACAGCCTGGTCCTGCAATTTGTTTTTTCGTTTTTACACACATGCCATCAAAGTTTCCAGGTCATCCATAAAAGTACCTTTTCTTTTTTCCCCCACAGTTGGACAGATTTGGAAAGCAACCCAACATCAAGAAAAGAGAAACAATCCAAAAGGCTAGAGTACAAAGTCAGAAGGTGTGACACAACTGGAACTATACTTGGATTTTATACCTCAGCTAGAGGCTGTGAAAAAAGTAGGAAAAATTAACCTTAGTAGTTAAAGAGAGTGAAAATTTGTACAAGTAGGTTAAATATATACAATATCTTAGATCTATAATCAATTTGCCATGTGAATTATACAAAACCAGTCCTTGGAAGTTTACAAACTCCATTCTCATGAATATCCAACGAACTCGTAGAAACATAGAATTAATAGCATTTAAGTAGTAGGGCAAAACATGTTCTATTGTCAATGATTCGACCTTTTGTTGATTATTATTCCTACTTCTAATTTCATACTTAACTTACACCTAATGTAATATCTCTCTATGAAAAAAATGTATTGAAGACCACATAAAACGAGCTAAGACAATACGAGAGATCTGTTTCTTTAAAATATAGACGAATGTCAATCGATCACATGAGTATCCTGACTAACTATTTGACACAATAAAAACATTTAACACAAAAGGGTGGTGACCCTTTTGAGCAAATGATTAAGCAAACATTTTGGTAGGTGCATCACATGAGAATTATTATCTATCATTGTTCTTTCTTTCTTACCCTACTTATTTCTTTTCCCTATTTGGGGGTCTTTCCTCTAATGATTTGTGATGTGTGGTTTGTTTCCTCCATTTCTGGGTCACAACTCACAACCAAAGGCAAACCCATCATCACTTCTATGGCCAATCTCTCTTCCTCCAATGCGCGTGCTCCAATCCAAGCAAGCAATCAACAATGAACAGTAAAAACAGCTCTTTCTAGCTTTCTTCAATAGGATGGACCCAAGCCTGGCCTCTCTCTCTCTACAAGTCAACTTGTATAGAAGACCCACAAGCCCCATTAGCAAAAGAACAAGGCACAAGCTAGAAAGTTCCTTTTGGTAGAAAGATTTTTGAGAAGGGAGTAACAAAAGGGTTGCATAAGATCCAACACAAGATTAAAGTGACAAGAGAGGGAAGAGAAGTGAGGGAGAAACAAGAAGTATCTTCACCCCAAAATTCATTTTGAAAGAGAGTAGTAGCATCGAGCTCGGAGTCTTTTTAACTTATTCTCTGAAGCACAATCCATGTGAGCTTTTGGTATCGAAATTAGTTACCAATACGCATATGAGTTAGTTAGACAACGAATTCGTAACCCCATTTTAGCGTTTCTTGGTGCATATCCAAAGCTCTACCACTATGCACACAAGAACAAGTTGGTTTAACTTTCCATCTTGGCCATTTCTGTTCTATTCCATTTGACTACCCTACAAAAGGGCTATTTCCCTAAAAAATCAAGATAATGGATAAGTTGTATATGATTCAACTTTGTATTCTAGAAAAAGGGAATAAAAGTGATCATCATATACATCATAAGTCAAGTAGAGAATGAAGAAGAAAGGAATATAAAGAAAAAGAGAGATCGAGAGCAGAAAGATCACGAGGAGCAAATATGTATTGCAGAGATTTGTTGTAATAGTACTAATAGTACCCACATGTGAAAAACTATCTCTTAGATTTTCATCTTCTTTATTGTTTCTGTTCCATCACCCATCTTTTGTTTTCTTCCCTTCTCACTCCCCCAAAATTCTGATAGTGACACAACCACCCCCTTGTTGTTTCTCTAGTCCAACTATCCAAATTCGGCTACGGTCCCAACCCTTTAATGGCCGTTGGATGCTCACAGTGACAATTATTTACAAAGACAATTGTCATCGTATGCATCTAACGGTTGTAAAATGAAAGTTCGCAATCCAATGATCGCGAAGTAGGCTAGTATACATGAAAATGGCTATAAATTTTCACAATTGAATAGAGGAGTGGTGTAAGTTTAGATTGCTTTTTATGAGTAAAGAAAGTTAATAATGGAAGATGGCCCTTTTGGTCTTCCTTGCATGCCTACATTTATTATTGTGAGTCCCATCCAAAAGAAAAAGAGTGCTCTTTGCCAATTCCCCATACAAATTCAGTCCCCAGATGGCCACTCTCCAATTATTTTCGCCGGTCAAAACTCAACCCACGACTCAGAATTTTCAGTCAACATCAGAAAAAAAAATTGTTTAGAAACAATGTTGAATGATTTACCATTTATTGATGTTCTAACCTCACAATGAATTAACTTTTTACTACCTCGTCACTAGTTCATTCCTTCCGAAAATTTCAGGTTAAAGTTAAACGATTTATCGTCATAAGCAACTTTAAACTCTTGATTTTGTGTCTCATCGAGTAAAAAAAGGTCCTCCAAGTCGGTGGAACATACTACGAATCTTGAAATCAAGATGGTATCACATAAAAAAAATCGTAATAATCTTTAAGACTCAATAGACAAGATAGCGTGAATTTGTTTCTATAAATAATGTCGGTCTACTACTTGGAGTTAATACAAAGAGAAAACCCGAAAATCAAAATGACAAAACACGAGAATTAGTGACCGACATATCCTTCGTTTTAAACTTTGAGATCAACAATCATCTATTAATACGAAAAAACAACAGAACTAAAGTATTTCATAATGCAAGAGAGGGGGAACTAATTACTGACCTCCATTGAGCCAAAGGACGAGGGGCTTGGTTCTAGGAGAAGCGGCGCCGGCGACCTCAGTGAGCCAGTAGAACAATGCGCGGCCGTGCTGTTCATTGACGGTGACATAGCCGGAAAACTGAGAGAATGTGACCGGCGGCTGGCCCGGGAGGGCAGAGATTCTGTCGAGTTCCTGCTCGCTGGTTAGCCCAATGGAGTGATAACAACGGAGGACGAAGCAGAAGAAGAAAGGCAAGAGATTCATGTAACGCAAATGGCTGCTTCTTCTTGTCCTTGAAACCGCCATTTTTATGCAATCCAAGCTTGTGGGGGGAAAGAAAGGGAGAGGTTTCTGGTAGTGAGAGGGTTGAGGAGGGAAAAAGTGTGACTGTCTTTGTGTATTTATACACAAGTGAGGAAATGTTGAGAGAGAATTATAAATTAGGAGGAGGGTAAATTACATAATGGTCACTAAGCTTTGAGGTTGCTAACAAATTGGTCATTGAAAGCTCGACTAATAAAACAGTGCCACTACAGGGATGGGATTAGGTGTTAACCCTTATAGGGGTTAGCACCGTGATAACTAGCAAAAAACGCTACTAAAAACAACAAAATCACTACGGATTATTATAAAATCAATACAACATCTAAGCTAAATCACTACTAATTCAAACTAGTAGTAGTTTTTCCCTTGGTTAGGACGGCGCTAACTATTGTACAATTAGCACCGTAACTCCTCCCGCCACTACATCCATCTTTGTCATGCCTCTTCCTCCGGATCATCCAGACTCGAGATTAGTGTGTTGATTCAGTCACTAAACTTTGAGGTCGCTAACAAATTGGTCATTGAAGCTTGACTAATACAATAGTGTCATTACGTCCTTCTTCGTCATGCCTCTATACTTTGAATCGTCCAGACTCGATATTAGCATGCCGATTTAATCAGATTGATATATGACTCATTATCATGTAAATCCTTATTAGACAATAAAATGGATTTTTAACTAATATAGTTTTTCGAACTCAAACCAAACGTGTTTTGCGACCTAATTCCAACCCACATTACCTAAAAATCACTTATATCAACCCACTTCAACTCATTTCAAAAGTTTCATCCAAATCGTCCTGATTAGTGTGTCTATTCAAACAGATTAATTTAGGACTCATGAGCACCCAACCCTTGACAAGCTGGTGACATGGATCGATGACCCGTTTTAACACATTTCTAGCTCAAAACAAACACGTTATGCTCGACCTAATTCCTACCCACATTACTCGAAACCACTCTAACTTTCATTTCTTCCCCTACCCCATAACTTTTTAGAAGGTATATATAGTATGAAGAAAGTGCATATATGGTTGGGGCAGCTAGCTGTATGTCATTGTATGAGATGTCTAGAGCTATGCAAAGATCAGAAACAGTAGTAGGGATAGGGATTAGGGAAGCAGAGGAACCACCCAGAAGACAGCTCTCTTAAATGCTTCTATGTAACCCAACTACCCTACTCTCTTCCCACATGTAATTCTCAGTGGTACAATTTACAGCTGGTAAAAAGTATCTTCATTCATCAGTTTTTTTTACCTCATTAATGTTACCTCTCTAGAGATTTGTGATCATAAGTTCACGTATCCTTTTGTGGTCGATTTGCTGTTGATCTCTTCGCGAAACGAGTGAATTAGTTATTGATGTAGACGGTGAATTTTTGGTCTGTTTCAAATGGGAAATAAAAATTTTGTTATGTTTGATAATTTGGGTGATAGATTAGCAATGGTAATGATCATTCTAGATAGCCTGATGAACATAATTATTATAGTGTTGACAAATGCTTCTTGTCCTCTTCCTAAATTGTACCATATCGTATATCTTTCTAGTGGTGGTCCTAAGAAAGAAGGGGCTAGGGAATTCATGTACAGTGTATGAGAGAGAGAGGGGGTTGTACAAGGGGTCAATTACATGAAATGGTCTTCAAATTTTCGAACAATGACAAATCGATCACCAAACTCGACTCTTGAACGAACTTGTCAATGGAGTTTGGAATAACTAAGAAAGACAAGAAACTAGCCGGGTTAGTTCGAATTGTTCGTATAATGCACGAATTCTCTAAACATAATAACTGAAAAAGACGACACATGCCCTCTAGCACACAATCAGGTGAGCGGAAGAGACCATGTTGGTTTCGAGTTTGGATGTGATTTCGCTAAACAAAATAACAAGGCAAAACAACCCTCGAGTGCGCTATCAGGTAGGTATCAGAGATCAACTGCGTTGGTTTTGAGCTCGGATTGAGTAACGAGTTCGACATACACAGAGTTAAAGTTAGTACAAGTTATTCATGTCAGTTAAGCAACTAGGGTCCACAAGAGCCTTTCATATCACTAATTTATAAATTTGGATAGAATACCGACATAATCAGACCGATTGACTGAGTTGGTTTTGAGCTCGGATTGAGTAACGAGTTCAACATACACAGAGTTAAAGTTAGTACAAGTTATTCATGTCAGTTAAGCAACTAGGGTCCACAAGAGCCTTTCAGATCTCTAATTTATAAATTTGGATAGAATACCGACATAATCAGGCCGATTGATTGTTATATACAAGTTATGTCGAACTTACTCACTACTCATATACTTATTAAAAAAATCAAGGGATTGTTTGTTAGTTACCCTAAATTTTAGTGACCACTTATGTAGCTACACTTAACTCATTGAAGACAATGGATGGAGGATTGTGTTGATATGGAGAGTGGGGTTGTTTCTGGTTCTCTTGTGACTCCCAACGGTTTCCTTAATTAGCTTTTGCTTGTGTCTATCGGTCTATTGGATGGGACAAGTGATGGTATTATATATGTGCCTCTACATGTATAGTTAGCTAGCATATGCCTTAAATTTTAGGGAGTGGGTGGCCTTATTAAAGAACAAACAATTACAATGTCATTTTCAAAATATCTTGAAAATGTTCTTTTTAGTACTTCTTAACGCGGAGGACACACGGCTTGGGACCGAAGGGCTTGGGCACATAATTTTGTATGTGAGCAAGGTAACAAGTGCAACATTCTTGTATAATTTGAATTTCAGAGAAGTGGACCTCCTAACATTCGAAACCATGTTGCAAAAGAACTGCGCACAATCGAATGACAGATGTGTGTTGGTTGCTACAACCTATTGTAAGATCTTATGACCATCGATGATGTACGCCATGCACCTGTGGTTCGTTTGAAGGAAATGAGAACTTTCTGTGCCCACAGAATATCTCGCGTGTTGTTAAAACGAAGTCTACCCGAGGATCAAATCATATACAATGAGATTAAACGTAATTTGATTCTCAAATCCGTGATTAATTTTTCATTTATTTTTATTCCATAAAATAAATCCACTTATAAGTCAAAGAATAAGAGGCCCACGTTCGAACCGAACAAGCCATCTCACATTCGAATGAATAGTTATTTTGATCTGATTTTATTCATAATCCTCATTTTCTCTTACATCTCCAATTCAAACCATATAAATGATTCGATCTGGTTTGGTTCTGGACCGACCCTAATTATTACCACCAAATGTGAAGCAAATTAACCACCCCCTAGCTAATAATGAATAGTATATATATATATCATTCACCATGATTTGAGATATGTTAAATGCATAATGATGATAAGGTTGGAATTTTATGGAATCCAATTATTCAAAATGGATTATTGGTCAACCTAGCTAGCTCTTTTAAGCAATGACAAGACAAATCGCTAATCAGAATCACATGCACCCCATGCATGCACACGTGTTGAACAGATTTGTCAAATCTTATAGATATTTTGGCATACGTGTGGGGATTTGATTGTTTATGGTGAAACTTCGATATCTTCTGTTGTAGTTCAAAGAAAGAGGGCTTTGGGTTTGTTATGATTTGATTAGGCGATGGGGGAGAAAATGGCTGCTAGGGACAAAAAACAGATTTTTATTTTATTATTATTATTATCTCTTGTTGGGTGATTTTGACCTTTCCCATCTCTCATCAATTTCTGTCTTTCGTCACTACTTGGTAACAAGAAGAAAAGAAAAAAAAAAAGGACCATGGAAGAGCTTTCTGTTATTGTACTTTCGATACCTTCATCAATGGAGTTGACCTCGCTCTTCAATTACTTTCATGTGTTTCGCTGTCCTAATGCCAGAAGATTGGGTAAAAACAAACAGATCGAAATAATAACGGGTGGTAAAATTATGGAGTTAGCGTGGATCGATCTTTCATTTTGGTCGATCATTTGCTTATGTTTCAACTGAGGAAGGGTCTACTATGGAGTTCACTGGATTTGAACTCAATATTTAAGGGTTACCGTGTTTACATGATAGTAATATCCGTATGATGTTCATTAATCTCTTTGACGTTATATATGCTTCGGAGTTTGATCGAATTAGAGCCCTAAAATACATTCTTGGATTTTTATTCAATATTTAGCGGTTAAGATGCTTCCATGATATTGAAATTAAGTCGTATGAAGTTATCTCTTTGATGTTATGCTTTGGGGTATAATTGGATATAAGAGCGTTAAAATACATTTTTGGGTATTTTCCCACCCCAAAATATGTGTTCTGAAGATCAAGTGCTTCTTGATCCCAATAACGTTAAGACTTTTTTTTATAAGACAGATGAATCTGACTCCATTATTTTTTGTCAAACTGGAATTTATAATTATTTTACCCTCCCTTTTTCATTTAAACAGTACTTCCTGGATTGAACTTGGCCACATGCACTGACAGCACCCCAATGGGGCTTCGTTGCTTCAGCCCACGAAGAAGTGATCTGAACGAACTGAGTGAAATTAAATACCCATCACTACTCATCAGTAGTAACCCCACTTCTTCCTTCAACTTGCACAATATTTCTTCTTCCCTTTTCCAGGCTCCTTTGGTCAGAATTAGCAGCAGCAGCAGCAGCAAACTTACTATTGGCGAAGTCAGCTTCCAGCTGCTAGCTAGCTATGCTGCCACAGTACTGTTCCAGTTTCCACCGGCATTCATATTTACTTGTTGTATAGGCATGCACGGCTGCTCTCACCAGGGACTCATCAAAAAGGTCACTTGTAGATGCACAAACAAACCAGTAAAGAAGTTAGGTTGAAGTTAGAAGGGACTGGAGGGCCCCCTTAAATGTGAAAATATCGGTATCATTGTTTGTGAATTTGTAACTAAGTTTAGGAAATGGAATAATCGGCTTTAGTCCCACCTCCTCCTAATTACCACGATTCGAATCAGTCCGCCCTTCATTCAGATTTCTGGCTTCGTCGCTGCTTACAACCATGGGTAATTAGTGTTGTTTATGGATCGTCTTGCACGGTTTCAAAACTTATAAATTCATGACATGATCGGCTTTTGGTGTTGCACTTAGGGTTGGAGTTCGATTCGGTTTCGGCTCGCAGAAACTCAAATTGGCTAATTACTCGAATCCAAATTGATGTTGTTTCAGCAATTGTAACCAATACCATTGCGGTTTGCCGAGAATCGAAATGTTACGATTTTCGGTTATGATGTGGTCATCCGTACTGGGTGTCGGGTGGGTAAGAAGCTTGAAGAGGAGTCGGGTGGGTTGTGGGTTGGTTGGGCTAGGAAGTAGGAGTCGTTGGCTTGGTCCATAATGTTGTTGGAACTTGGAGTTGGAATGGCATGGTGGGCTAGGGCCCATATCCAGGTGGGTTTGCGGTTATATCCGGTTATTTTCTGATCCAATTTGGTTTGTGATTACTCCGAAACTCAGAAATATTACCTAAACTCACACCCGAGACTGTTCTATTCGTTTCAATTTGCAACTCTCGTTTATCATCAATTTGGTTCCGATTTGGGTTAAACTACTGAACCGACCGCGAAATTCCCTCCCTAGCAACATTCCAGTCGATCTAGCATGGCTATCATGTTTGTAATTTTGTCATCCACCTAATTTCGACTATATATTGACACAGGGCTTCTGCTCACACTTTCGAACAATAAAGAAAAAGACTGTTTGATGTAGTTTTGAAGTTCTATTTAACTTTCTAAGCTCGTTGCTTCGAGACTGTATAAACAGTTTCCATGGGCAGTGAATTTTCCGGTGCCCACCGTCGACGGAATCGCCGCATACGGCGACCGGATATTTTGACTTCTGATCGGTTACCATTTTTTTGCATTAAATTCTGGCTAGCGGCATCTGTGCCTTAATCGAAGTACCAATTCTAAGTCAACCGTGCTGACTTTTTTTTTTTGTATTATCAGGACATCCACCGATAAATGACCGACAACAAAATCAACTCTTTGGGCTTGGGGTGGTGGGTGATTGGGCTTGGCGCACGGCCCAATTAATAGAGTAAAGCCCATACTAATCCGGATCCATCATTGTAGAAAATACCGTGAGCCGCTTTACCTTGGGGTTCGGACCATGCATGCAACCATTGTTATCCTCTGCTGCAACCATCCCAAAAAAAAAAAAAACTTAAATGCCAACACTTGAAGTTCCATTTTCAGAATTTCTTGCCTTGACAATTTGATCAGCTAAAGAAAAATTTTTTTCTTCTTGTTTTGCATTGCGAGAGAGAAGAAAATGGGAAGCTCAACCCACCAGGTAGAGTACTTGCTCTTCCAGCGGCCGCAATCGCGGCCGCCGTTTGAAGCCGATTGCTATTCCTTGGTCGAAGAAGTTTGCTATGGAGCCGGGAAAGACGCCATTAGAGCTGAATTGGGTGCTTACGGGGAGAAGCTCCTGGGTTCGAGCTCATCCTATGTTCAAACCAAAGTAAGTAAAAGTAATTGTAACTCGATCATTTAGTTTTCAAATCGGTTTATATCGTTACTTGCGCCGCGGTTTAGCAAGTGGAATGATCTCACCAAGGTACAACTAGTTTATATATGCTGGTTTTGACAAAAACATGTGAAGAATTGGAGAACCATTAATACCAAATAAATTGTGCACTTATATTTACTAATTTAAAACAATCTAACTATTATCTCCATTCATATTTAAATATATATTACAAATATAAAGTGATAAATCATCATATTTATTTATTTTTATCGGTTTTGACTATCGCTTCATAAAGATAGTCTCCACCAGTTTTGTCCAATACCGATTGAAACCGAATATAATGGCTACTTGGCTAGCTTTTGAAAGGTATATAGATATGGTTAAAAATTGATCATTTGTGTGTATACAGATCATCGGTAGATACTTGTCCAACCCAAGGTACTATTTCCAAGTGAACGATGAATACGTGAAGAACAAGCTGAAACTCATCCTCTTCCCCTTCCTTTACAAGGTTTGCATCGGACCGATAAGTTAACTCATTAGCTATGTGCGACATTGAGAGATCGAGAGTACGTAGGACGACTTATGTACTAGTAAGAGTATCCGTCAGACTGTGCGTGTATATCGAATGATGTCGAACAAAGTACGAAATGGCTTATGGTTAAGTATGTTTGAATGCAGGGGAATTGGTTTAGGGCATGTGAGAAGAATGTTGCCAATGGGGAGTTCTGTTACGAGCCTCCAATTTATGATGTCAATGCTCCTGATTTGTATATACCATTCATGGCATTTGGGACTTACTTGGTCCTTTCCGGCTTCACATTGGGCATCAATGGCAAGTAAGTCCCTGTTGGATCATGTGCCTAATCCTTTAGGAATTCTGGTTACGTAACTAGGTTTTGGAATATTAAGATTATCAGAATGCATGTATTTGAAAGATTTAATCGACGATTAAGATTAGTTTTTTTTTTTCAATCGAACTGGGAGGTTGTAATAGAACAGCTCGTAGGCACTCCATCTAATTAATTCTCGTTGTTAGTTTTGTTAAGTCAATCTGGTAGATAGATCTGTCACGTCATCGAAACTAAAATAAATTCAGTAAAAGCATACAAACTCGATAGAGAGATTCAGCTTGTTACAAAATCCAAAAAGAATTGAATTAGTGTCACTATTATATTTAGCGGTTCAACTCAACAAAATAAATATGGGGAGAAGGGTATATTTCGTTAACAGTTAACTAGCCCATTTTGCCTAGTTGGTCGCTAAAGAAAAGCAAGTTATAACGAACTCGTTACAATTGCTTGTGGATTTATTTATATAATCTCGACAGGTTCAGTCCTGAAGCCATGGGTTCACAATTCTGGAACAGCATTTTCTGCTGGTTATCGGAAATCCTCCTCCTCGAAGCCACGATACACGCTTTAGGAGACGGAGACCTGCCGTTGCTAGATGTCGTCGCCTACGGTGGCTACGCATTCGTGACGGTTTCGATAGCTATGGCGACGAGGATCGTCTGGGGCTCCAGCTTTTTCGCGGTGGCTCTTTGGGAGTGCTTTTGTACAGGAGTGTTGCTGGTGAAGATCATGAAGAGGGTTCTGATAGCAGAGATGAGAAGTTGCGACAAACATTCAAGCAGGCGTCACTATATCCTGCTTCTCGTCGCTATTGCTCAATTCCCGTTGCTATTTTGGCTTTCAAGCGTCGGTGTCTGAGTTTTATATCATTTTCCCCCATCTTTTGGCTTTTCATATTCATTACACGTATGTACGAGTTAAGTTGGAATTGGAACTAGTTCATTGTCAACCTTCGTCCTATCTAGTTTATTTAGGTAGTAAAATATTGATCATGATTAGATTTGATTTTGATGATCGAAGGTTAAAATATTTTTGGTAGTTTGGTTACCTAATTTTTTTTTAAATGTCCGGATTGGAATCAATTAATCAATCAAATTGAATTTTAATGTGTTTCGAACTTTATTGTTATTCTTCATGAATGCAAATTGAATACACCGATGTGCGAAATTTGAATAATATTGTCCTCTTTGGGCCAAACCCGCACAGATTTACCTTTGGGTGTCCTCCCCAAAAGGCTTCGTACAAATTGGGCTAGGTGGAGAGCTATATACAAGGGTTTCTTCCCTTGTATTACCGATGTGGTATTTGGATTGTACCCTAACATAATAGATGGAATGAATATCCATATTTTTGTAGATAAAATGTAAGATAGGTCCAAAAACATCAAAACCTAAATATTAGATACGATCAGACCCACAATTCGAAACACTCAGTATGCAATTAGCCCATATAAATTGGATCATACTACATATACCCAACAACTTGAGCTTTTCTTATATAATAATTGTGACATCCCTATCTTTTGATTCATGCATGCCATCCTTGCACAAAACCCTCAAACATATCTAATAATGGTTTCATGAGTTTCAATTCATAGGGGAACAAAATCAGTGTTTTCTCTAACACATTTTGCATGAAGATCATACACACACATAAATGTTCTCCAAGGGTAAAATTTGGGTCACACCATTATCGTTATCTTTCTTATTTCAATTCTTGTTTTTAGTTTTGGATTTAAAGGGATAACAGAAAAAAACAACTTAGTTATATGCTTGCCTATAAATAGGCCTCATAGTTTGGAATTTGTCTTCAGCTTCCAAACCCAAAAAGATGAACGGCATCGAAAATAAACGGGTCTTTCATTGAATTATATTTTCTCTTTCAATTTTCTTTTAAGATGTAATAACCAACTATTAAACTAGAGTCAGTGACGGGCTCCTAAATTTTAGCGAGGGTGTCATTTTGTAATTTTTAAATTCAAATAATAATAAAAAATATAATTATAAAAATAATTTTTAATTTCTGAAAAGAGAAAATATAAGATTAAGAAGATGGACCGGAGAAAAGCCTGTTTGTAGCTACGTTTCTTCTTGCGAATACCACATGAGGAAGAGTATAACATAAACTAGATTTTGTTTTTATTTTCTATGATAAAACGTTTGATAAAATTGGGTTTTAATTGGGTGGGTTTCCATTGAATACCACATGAATCATGTTGATCTTTTCATATTCGAGATCACATCTTTTGGAAACTCACCTTTGACATGATGATTCTGGAAATTATAGCTTTCACATTGTAGCTCATTTGAATTATTCAATGGAAAGCCCATCATTGGTGAATGCTAAGAAACAAAATCATAGTTCACCATGATGTGTTGCTTTTTCTAATGCAGGTTAGACATTTGCTGCTATAAAGACCCACGCTAATTCAGAAAGCTTTGAAGGTGGTCAATTGCGGCAGGGTCGGAAGACCAATTTCATTAAGCACGAACAATATGGTCCTTATTCAGGGTCTTGAAAGTTCATGAAAGAGTTTTATCCAAAATATATTATGGTGTTGAGAAACACCTCATAGTTTTCTTAGATACATACAATATTTCTGTACCTCGCAAGAGCACGTACCATATTAGAGAAAATCTTAATACATCAGAAATTCACCAAGGCATTAATTTGAATATATGACTCGATTTTTGAGGATCATTTATGGAATTACTTATAAACTCTTTTTATCACTCTCCTAAATACACTCATGCCTATGTTTGGCCCGGTTTTTAGAAGTGCTTTTCGGCTTCAAAATCTGAAGCAGGGTCAAACACCTCTAACAGTTCAGCTTTTGAAAAGCCGAAAAGCGCTTTTGTATAACATAAAAGCAGAAGCTCCGATTTGGAGCTTCTGCGAAAAGCTGTTTTGAAAATACAAGATTATCCTTACCATTATTTAATTTTATTTCAGAAAATATAATTTTATTTCCTTTATATCATTTTAAAAATAAAATAAAGTATAAAATCATATTATTTAATATAAAAGAAGTCTAACAAGATCCATTTTGACTATATTTTATTGTTTAGAATTATTATTCATAGTTTATATTATACATCCTTTATAGTCATTTTACACAACCTCTCATATTAAAAAACACTTTTAATAAATTTTCAACCAAACATTCAACTGCTTTTTTTGAAAAGACTTCTCTAAAAGCTCAAGCCGGAAACTACTTATACAAAAACTACCTCAGGGCCAAACTCAACCAATATAAAGGACTTGTAAATCAAGTTATAGCCATATTTAAAGTTGGCTTAAAGGCAAAACATGGGTTGGAATTCTCTCATTTCAAATTTCGTGGCCTGAGAGTGATTTTAGGAAGGTCATTTTTGTCATTGCACTCAGTTCATGTTTATATATTAAAAATATTATCATTGGAGTTTGAACCTTGGTAGCTTTAATGAAGAAAGAGTATTATAACCAACTAGGCTACATTTTATTTATTCTTATTTCTTTGATTGAACTCTAGGAATATGTTTGGTGATTATGCTTCTATATTTATATTTTATCTTAAGTTATTTATATTTTATAGAAAGATATTAGTTTTGAAATCGGAGCTCAAGTAGTATTGATTCAAACATTAATAGTAAATTGTATGTGTTGTTTAGTTCAGATAAAATACAGATGTGTAATCAAAACATGGACCTTTGTGACGAGTATAATCATTTTTTATGACAAATCTACACATAATATAATGATAAAATTGAAAAATGAGAGTCTCATTTCAAATACGATTTTACAATAATTTGGTTCAAACAATTCTTTTACACTGGTGGAAACAAAAGTTTTAAGGCACATTTTGAACTATCTATTGCAAAAAAGCATAAGTTAGTTAGCGATAATGAGAATATGCGATTTCAGGCAACCCAAAAGACACTTCGCAACTTTTATATTTTAAAATAAATGTATGTTACTCATACCCTCGCTCATTCATCAACTTAATGAGTAACATATATTTCATCCGTTTTTATTTATTGAATTATTTCATGAAAAAAATATTTGCTGCATGAAAATTACTACATTGTTGCTAGACATGTCTGCAATCTGAGAATAATTTGGGAAGTCCGTACACAACACATTGTCCAACTAACTATTAGAGACAACTTAGCATCATGTCTTATATATTTCAAATCAAGCAACTTCATATTCATTACCAACAATGTGGCAAAAAAGAATGCTCTCTATTGGGGAAAACTTAGAGGACATATTAAACTCTATGAGACATTTTCTTTCATCCTAAAGGTTGATTATGTATGTATGTATGTATGTATGTATGTATGTATGTATGTATTATCACTACAACAAAACCCACATATAGCGGCTAATTGTTGAGGCAAATATTGTATTTGTCTCTAAAAGGATATTATATGCAACAGATATATAATTTGCCTCAATAGACTCAATTATGTGCCTCTAAAAGTATGTGATATACTACAAATATATAATTTGCCTCAATAGATTCAATTATGTGCCTCTAAAAGTGTGAGATATATTACAAATATATAATTTGCCACAATATATACATCTATGTGCCTCTAAAAGTACGAGACACATTATAATTTCTTTTGTATACTATAAGTTTTAGAGGCAATTGTGGAGTGGGTTTTTTTTATTTTTTCAATAAAATTGTGACCTGATTGATGGCGGGAGTTGGGCGCTCATTTTTTCATTTTGATTTTTGAACGGGAGGAGGGATTTCTAATTTTCATTTTTTATTAAGATTTAAGAGTTTTTTCCACATTGATTATGATTAAGAGTCCTTTGAGCCCACCGAATAAAGACCTAAGAACTATATCCTCTTCCCTCTCCTCTCTCTCACTACTTTCCCACTATCTTTCCCTGTTACTCTGGCCTCCGCCTTCCACCGCCGCTAGCCACTCTTTGAACCTGGGAGAACGAGACTCTACGCTAAAGAGTCTTCGATAAATTACTACCGTGAGACTTTGAAATTACTGGCATCAACGCTGTGGCGCGTCGCCGATTCGGGTTTCCTTCTATCTCACTTCTGTCTCTGTTCCCAGTCTCTGCTCTATTCTTGGTCGATCTCGTATGGCGTATCTTATCATTCTTGTTGCGCGATTGGGATCTCTAGCCGCTTTTGTTTTGTTATTTGAAGGTGAATAAGAGAAACGTCCATGGGTGGCCATTGTCCAGCTTGAGCATCGATTCGGTGTCGATTGGAGAGAACTGGGTCGTGCTAGCTTTTCCCATCAACCCATATGTTCTAAACATGCCGCCTTTGTGCAATGGAATCTCAGTGAGTCCCTTTATAAAACTTGCAGTTGTCTTCCCCTATTCAATTTGTTGATTTTTGGATTTGGGTTTCGTTTCTAGGGTTTGGTTGTTGGCTAAAGCATGGTTTATGTGTTCCTTTAAGATTTCAGTCGTCTTTCCGGTGACTCTGTTAGCATGAAGTTTTGGATTTTGGTTTTGTATTGGTGATGGATATTGGGGTTTTTCTAGGCTAGCTGGTTATGCATACTACTATGAAATCAATTCTCTTTAACTCATAGGATAAGGAATAATGGAATACGAAATTGTTAAGGAATATGGCTGCTATGTACTTTTCCTTGTTCACGACTAACTTTTAACTCTGGATATCAATCAATAGAAACTCCTTCCAGTTTGCAGTTTAAATGTTCAAAAAAAAATTTCACAAGATCATTAACTTTCAGCAGGGTTTGAGCTATGAAACGTCCCGACCTTTTTCGAAAATCAAACCACAACTCAAACCCAAAACCGGTTACTCCGGAGCAACCCAAACCACATTTTAAAATAAACAAACTGACTTTATTTATTAATTTCAAATCAAAAAGCCTCAAAACTTGGGCAAAATCTCAATCTTAAATACTTAAAACAACTTAACACAGAATCTTGAACTTTGAATCTCCAGTACATATACTCGTAACCATAAACATAAAACAACTATCAAACTTCAACTATACTCTTCACCCAGCTCCTTGACATCTCATCGTCGGTACTGGCATGACCGCTTGCCTCATCTTACTTCTTCTCGGGATCCACTTCCGCTACCCCATCCTCAACCTGGTGAGTGAGAAGGGGTCAGTCTCGTCGTTACTTCCTAAGGTCTTTGCTCTAAGCAAACTACTTTCTAAAACACGTTATTAGCGTTTCTTTTCTTTAGATGAAAGTCATTCTCACTTCCATCCTTAATAACTCATTTAAACTTTAACTCATAGAAGTTCTAAACTTCTATCCTTAACTCAAACATATAGCACTAGGACCACCGCGTTACGTCTCGCCGTCCGGTGTCCTACCCTAGTATGCCAACCGCGTTACGTCTCGCCGTCCGGTTGCATACCCAAACTTGGCAATGGCACTGCGTTACGTCTCGCCGTCCAGTCCATGCCCGTCAACTACTGCGTTACGTCTCGCCGTCCAGTAGTGACCCGACCATCTACCGCGTCCAGTAGTGGCCCAACCGCCCGGGGGTTCAATTACCAATAATCATGCACATTCATACACACACATACATAGCACAACGCGTGCCTCCACCCTTGTAGGCGGTGGGATGCCTCACACACATACTCGCGCTTACTTGAAAATTAAATAACATAACTGAAATAAAAACAACATAAACTAAAAGACCTCGACAGAAATTTTACCCCCTTTACACTCACCTTAGTATAACCACGACCTGGTTAGCAAATAATCCCGGATTACAGGTGCAGTCTGTTCTCTTTGACCCGTCGCATACCTCTAGCCATCATTTCCGACTCCAACCTGAAGCGCGTACAAAGAAACTTTTGAAATCACTCACTTACCCTATTCCTCATTGCCATCGATAAATGAGTAATTTCCCACTAATGTCCATCCACCCACGTCTACTAATTCAACCTATCATGGAGTAGCATCTTCAATCCTTAATCTCAAACATTCATCTCAAGTTACACAGCTACGGTCTCCTTTTTATCAAACCAATTGAACTTCAATTCAACAGCTACGACCACACCCAAAAGAATAACCTCCACCATCACCAAAATAATGTCGGAATAAGCTTGGAAGGATCTTTACCTAAATGGGACGTTTGCTACCCTTTTGCGGATCCATCATCGAGCCTGGGTCACCACGAGGGACGTTGTGCTCCCATTTTCTTCTTCCCGTCGCTGCTAGCTCATCAATTCCCCGGGAAAACTTCCACCAACAATCATAGTAAAATTCCACCATCACCTTCCCTCTCATTGGTTTCTTCAAATCCCTGGGTCAACCACGTTAACTGGGGCAATTTCCCTAAGCGGTGCCGCTCGGGATCAAAGAGGGAGGCGGCAGGTTTTGGATCCTTGCGCATAACGAGGTTAGGGGATTAGTTTTTGGCCGCCCTCTTCTCATTAGATGTAGGGTTTAGCTTTTCGTTTTCCTTAGCTAAATTAGGTCGCCTAATTATATGTGCAAAAGAGTAACCGAAGCAATCATGGGCAGATTACAATAATAATAAATGGTCTCAATTGATCGCTTGGTCTTAATTCTAGGATTAGGCTCGATTCAAGTTTAAGTACGTAATCTTCGATCCATCCACTCATTTATTATGGTCGAACCTGAACTCTGAATGTCGGGGTGTTACAAGCTATGTACTATATAATTGGTATCTAGTAATGAATCAATATCAACAATCACAAGGTATTGAAAGTATACGACCTTTTTAGATGGGGGGTTTTGAATGGAATCAAGTTCTTGAAACAATATGCAGCTAAAGTTGGGGGTTGTTTTGAATGAAATCCTGAATTTGGGGATTTTTCAATTTGGGTTTCAAATTGTTCATTCGTAAAGGTTTCTGACTTGTACATGCTCAATTTATTCTTTCTTGCTCGATTTCTTGTTGGTTTTGAAACTAGGAGTTAGGGTTAAGACGAACTCTTTTATCAAAACCAGAACCCAAATACAGAGAAGTGAAATCCCACGTCAATAGTGGCGGAGGAGATGTTCCTTTTATGATTTTTGTTGCTCTGTTTAAATAATTGGATGCAGGTTCTGCAAATTTGAGCTTCGGCGATCAGGGAGACCTTGTCGGATCTGTTGCTATCTCCAATGCTCATTTAGTGAACTAATTCCTTCTGTTTACCCCCTTTTGGTAAGGGTTCTTTGCCATACTGATTTAACTGAATCTCTTATCTTCAATTTCATGTTAAGGTTGTCATCAATGTAGTAATTTCTGATCTTGCTCGTCTGCAGGTACGAAGTGGAGTCGATCGAGTTGAATTTTATGCTAGCATTAAAGTCTAAGATGCACAAAGAGTTGCAATACTTAGAGAGTTGAATTCTTGTTTGCTCCTACATACAGCTCTTCATGAATGCTTTTTAACTCTTGAATCATAGTTTTTTGTTTGTTTGTTTTAGAGTTGTTGATATATGCCTCAATACTAAGCGACCTCAACTTTTTCCACTTATGGACTCTCATTTCCCTTCTCTTCAATCTTACGATGTACACTCTACACTCTGTTGTTCAACTATCATATCAATGGAAATATGTAATGTTGTACAATATTTTCATCTTTCCATATAATTTTTTTACTACAAATCAATTCAATAAATCAATACAAAAGCACATTTATTAACCTCTAAAATTTTTTTCACAAGCAAAATTATCTGCCTCTATAAATAATATTAAAGGCAAATTTAATTGCCTCATTAAATAATTTTAGAAACAAAAACATATGTCTCTGTAGATACTTGTTGAGTCAAGTTTAATAGCCACTAAAGATCATTTTAGAGGCAAATACTTAAGCCTTTGATATTGGATATAAAGGCAAAATAAAAGTGACATTAGCGGCTAATATATTAGTTGCAGAATCTTTAATCACCAACAGATAATATATGCCACTATATTTGCTTCTATAGGGCTATAGCCACTAGAGTATTTGAGGCAAATGTATTATCTGCCTCTAAATATATACAGAGGCAAATAATAGAGTTATAGAGGCAAATTCTCCTAGCCGCTATATATGAGTTTTGTTGTAGTGTATGAGAAGCAACTATAATATTCAACTATATGGTTTAATTATGTAATGAATGACAGTTAGTTATATTCTTTTTTTCATTCAATAATTATATGTAATGCTTATATTATATTTTTTCTCTTTTCATGGAGGTCTAATTACATTATGCATAGGTGTATCACTTTCAAAAATATTGTGTGCATAATTAAGATAGAAAACAATCATTTCATGCATTTCAAATCATCTATTATATCCATTATTATATACCATATTTGTCGACAAAATTCTTCTGACCAACGGGCCGAACCATGTGGTAGTGTTCATGAAAGGCATTTTTCTAATTTCTTGGCATAATGTATCTGCCACCGTTTTATTACTTTTGGCGACCCTCCAGTTGGTTGCAAAAATGTTTTTTTTTTGTTTATTTACTACTTTACAGTTTCTATAGTATAATTTATAGCTGAAAAGTAAAACTGCACCCCATTCAAATTTTCCTGCCCATAGAGTGATTTTAGGAAGCTGATGTGGCAGAGTGTTAAGCGGGGAAAAAAATAAGAGTCCCCGCCTGATTGCAGAACTAAACAAACTGTCCACTACCCACCTTTTCTCCGTTTCCCACGTTGTCATATAATATTCATTTATTTTTTGTTTGGGTGAAATAAGCCCACCTTTTCTACTGGTTATTAAGATAGAGAAGAAAGTCACGGAAAGGGAAGAGCAATTGCAGGCATATTACAGAGAGAGAGGGGGAAAGGTGAAAGGGAGGAGAAGGAAGGAGGCTGCTTACCCTTTTACAGAATCGATCTGCATAAGGAATGGAAGAGGAGGTTTCTTACCCTTTAACCGTTTTACAGATTTGATTGAGGCTGTCCCCTCCGACGAGAAGCACAATAACTCGCATCAGAAATCTCCTCCTATTCCCAATTTCAAACAAATAGAAATCCCTAGTTATAAGCAAGTCGACGACCCCACTCGCTGACGAAAGTCCTTGGGAGTGGGGAGATCGCGATTGGGAGTACCGCGGACGATCTCGGCGGCGGAGAGGTTATTGACGAGTGCGACTTTCATCTCTGGCAGCCAGCCCACCTCCACCGCAGGTTCCAGATTACCTCCAGAGATTCGCTGCTATCTTCTCTGTCGATTGCTGCAGCAGACAGTGTACAAATGCCGGACAAGATTAACGATGTCGACGTACGCACAGAAGAAACAAAACCACTGAGAGGGTTTTCATGGTAACTACTGCCGACGTCACGAACCCTGCTTATTCTCTCTTCTCTACTTCAGCCTGTCCATAATTTGGCTCCAAATCGCTCCAACTACTCGCATCCGTGGAGGGCGCCCCCATCATTCTCAAGCCATCGGTTTTCCCCTCTTTCTTATTAGCTTAAAACTCATAATTGGTCTTTCTTTTGTTACCGTTGTATGTGATTATCCCTTAAGTTTTGGAGAACTGGGTCTGGACTGTATTGGTTTCTGATGAAATTGGAGGGGGGGGGGGGTATTTGTATCGATTTTGATGTGTGGTTTCAGCTTACTTTTCCGGTCAAACGCTTAATGCTAAGTTCGCAAGTAAGAGTTGCTGTTCTGGGTGATTAGAGGGCAAAGAAGGGCAGAGTGGAGAAGTACAACATTTTGCTGGACCCTGTCTTTAGTGTAATTCACATATTAGAAGGTCTTCCACAGACTCATTTGTTTGGAGTTAAGGTTACATTCTGTTGATGATTTATAAAACGTTTAGTGTTTTGAAAATCTAGAATTTCATTTATCCTTGCTCATTGGCGAACGTAGAGTTCGAGTTTGATTAGTTTATGATGGTCGAGGATTTTGGTTTCTGTACTAACAGTTCCATTATTTCCTCTTGGTGGCAGCTACAAAATTAACCGGAACGGGTTCATCATCTAACAGAAGCACTATTTCATATTGCCTCCACTTCTTGCAGAATCAAAAGGTCAACTTCCATCCTCCATCTCACACCATTTACTCTTGAACTCAGTAGGAAAAGAAACACATATGACTTGATTTTAAGCATGTCATGCATTTGGCTGCAAGTGTCAACTTATGGGGTCTATAAACACATATGACTTGGTTTCTGCTTGCCATTCGATCTGCATTTGCTGTCGGTGATGAAGCAAGCATGATAGGGAAGCAAAAGCCAACGTCATGTTGGTGATTTCCACTTTTCTTTTGTTTTGCTAGAAGTATAGTTTATAATGGTCGCTAGCAATATAGAAACACATTCTGGTTATAATGGTCGCTAGCATTATAGGTTATATGCTTTGGTTTTGTTTGTAGCTAGGGATTTATGGTTTACCCATTAGGTTTGCTTCTACAATTTGTAGGCGATCTACTATGATGTACCAGCAAGGGTAGTGGAACTACAGATTTGGAGGTCTAGCGAAGTATAATGCAACTTACGTGAGAATTGCTTCACTCTGGTTTTGACTCAGATCAAATTCGAAGGGGTGGACGAGATTAGAATGGAAGCTTCTTACACCATGGAGATGAGACTCACTGCTTTTATTGCATTCCAGTTGGGGAATGCCAGTAACTAGGACCTTTGAGCTCTCCCATGCAGGTAACCATTGATGCTTGCCTTTTCTTCCTTTCGTATTAAAACTTATGCAATCATAATGGATTTGGCATGTTGCTTATACTTTCATCTCAGTTGATTGAGATGGATGGAAGTGCATGTGAGTCTGGTCAGGGTGGTGAGATTCTGTGCGGAAAAGGATAAGATGCTTATCTATGTGTTCATGCCGAACAAAAGCTTGGACTTCCCACTTCTCAGAACTGGTGTAATTTCTTTTCATGGCTTCATTGTTTTTTAATTTCAGTATGATCTTAGGGGATTTGTCGATATAATAGAGCAAAGCTTTTCCCTTAAGTTTGGTGATTTTGTCCAAGGTTTTGTTCTTCAAAATTGCTAATTGACAGGTGGTCTGAGTTGAAGTCTTCCTTGATATATGTTTTTTATATTGTTGCTAAGGCAGAGTGTATAATTTGATACTTATGCACCACTTTGAAACATAAAAAGCAAGAATCGATCTTTTCCCATGCTTCCTTGGGGGACCAGTTACGGTAACAACACTCTTTGTGTTGTTATTGTAACAACACTAGTCTCCAACCAATAGGAAGCTAGGGTTATGATGACTTTTTATTAGATGAGTTGACCTAGTGTAAAATCAAAGCAGGGATATAATTGTCATTATGAAAAATATGTTTTAAATAATAAAAAAATAAAAAAAATAATAAAAAAATATTTTTTTATTTTTCGGGGAAAATATTTTTTTATTTTTTCGGCCCAAAATTTCGGTCGCCGGAATTCTGTCACCGGTCGCCGAAAAATGGTCGCCGGTCACCGGAATATGCTTTTCGTCGCCGGAATATGCTATTTTGTCATCGGAATATGCCACCGTCGCCGGAATATGCTCACCGTGGTCGGAATATGCTTACCGGCGTCGGAATCTAGTCATCGGGGCCGGAATATGCCTATCGGCGCCGGAATCTACTCACTGACGGTCATCGGAGTTTGGTCAACGATTTTCGTTGACCGGTCAACGGTCTTCGTTGACCGGTCAACGGTCTTCGTTGACCGGTCAAAGGCCAACGACCACCGGATGTTATGGTCTGCATTGTGAGATTTATGGTTTGGTTTCTCATATTTTTGTATGCCTTTTGTGGTTTGTTTTATCGTGTTTGTGGTTTGCATTAAGAAGTTTCTGGTTTGCTTTATCGTGTTTGTGGTTTGCATTGAGAAGTTTCTGGTTTGTTTTCAAAAATTTTGTGGTTTGCATTGATGGTTTTCTGGTTTGTTTTAATATATTTGTGGTCTGCATTAGGACGTTTCAGGTTTGCTTTTTTGTGGTTTGATTTACTGTGTTTGTGGTTTGCATTAGAAGGTTTCTGGTGTGCTTCGCAAATGTTGTGGTTTGCTTTGTGAGGTTTGTGGCTTGTTTTAGGAGATTTGTGGTATGCATTCGGAGGTTTCTGGTTTGCATTAAGAAGTTTCCGGTGTGCTTTCGAAACTTTTGTGGTTTGGTTTGCGAGGTTTCTGGTTTGTTTTAATATATTTGTGGTCTGCATTAGGACGTTTTTGGTTTGCTTTACCGTGTTTGTGGTTTGCATTAGGGGGTTTCTGGTGTGCTTATGATATATTTTGTGGTTTGCTTTGTGAGGTTTGTGGTTTGTTTTATGAAATTTGTGGTATGCAATGGGAGGTTTATTTTATGTTTTTTGTGGTTTGTTTTATTGTGTTTGTGGTTTGCTTTATAGAGCTTCTGGTATATTATAGGAGATTTGTGGTTTGCATTAGGAGGTTTCTGGTGGGTTTTAGAAACATTTTTAGTATGCTTTATAGTGATTCTGGTATGTTTCAAAAGTATTGTAGTTTGCAATAGGAGACGTTTGGTGTCCTTTCTGGTGAACTTGAGAATACTGAAACTCAGGAGAAAATGATGAAACTTTCAGAGATTTTGATTTGGTAAAGCAATAAAGAAGATCGATGCTCCTAACTCACAATTCTAGCTCAATAACTAGAGAGAGTGGACCAGAAAACAAATTAATCTTGTAGCCATGACTCTCCACCCAACTCTTCTTCCTTATCTTCCCCAAAACTCGAAGACTTTATCCGTGTGTCAGTTTTTGCTCTCACCAGCTTCCCCTCCATGGGTAATTAATCGTGAATTAATCTATTAATCATCCACCTCCTCGCCTAATCATCATAATCATATCATTATCATTATCACTCTTTATCGTACACATACTAATCTCTCCTTAATCATGCAGGTTTTGATTAACTAAGCAGAAGCTTTGGCGGCTTATCCGCCTCCCTCACCGAAGAGGTGATGGTGAGTGGTGACCTCTCAAAAGCAGGGGATCATCTCCCTGCTTCTTCATTTCAACCAATCCTTCTAAATCAGCTTCTTCATCTTCTGGGGAAAAGTGGGAAAACAGATTCTATGATCAAGGTACTCGTAGTTTCAAGCCATTTCCATACTAAGGTTGGTTGAAATGAAAGTAATATAAAATTCCAACATTGACATGTAAATGAAACTGAACTAAGCTAATAGGCTTCTTCTTTCCTCGACTTCTCCTATAATTTATGCTGTTGTTATTGGGTTTGAATACAGTTATTTTACAAGATTATAGCATCTGGTGCTGAAATAAACTTCTCCTCCCCACCGGCTGCTCATCCCCGCCCCTCCTCCGCCATTATCCCTCCGCCGGACTCTCTCCGCCTGCATGTCCTCCAACAACTCCTCCTCCCTCGTCACACTCAAGAAAGTCGCCTCTAACAATGAGCTCATCCACCTAGCGGTGGTCGAGCCAGAGAAGCGAGATCAGGATCAGGCGGCGGCGGTAGAGAGGGGCTTACAAACGTCGATTCTTGACGACTTGCGGTAGTAAAGCTAGGACTTACCCAGATCGCTATGCCAGCCATGGAAGATGAGGGTTGCCGCTGACGTCGAACACGACCTCCCCCGACGATCGTGTCCATGAATTAATCGGCGCCGGAACAAGAAGGAAATAGAGGACTTGCGAGCGGTGGAAGAAAGAAGGAATAACGGGAGATGAGGCTGGGGAGGAACGAAAGAAATTGCATACGAGCGGATTAGGGATTGGGTATTATTTATTTAATTTTAATTTGATATTTTGTGTTAATTTACTTATTTACCCTTAATGAATTTTGTTGTTATAATAACAACACCAATGGTGTTGTTATACTATCCGGTCCCCTTCCTTGGGATCTGTTAACTGTGGTATGTGAACTTCTGGTTATTGGATTGCCTGTTTTCATCATGGTTTCTTCAGAATAGATCGACTGGAATCTCTACTTTCATAGGTTGGGTTTTGTTTCAAAATTCTCATTTGTCTTCCTCCAACAAGGACGAAGATGTATCATTGTGTACAACTGGAGCTGATTAGTTTTTCTAAACCTAATCTTTTACTGTTATTAGAGAAGGTATCCAACGCATCATTCTTTAAGATGAATGTATTAAGGTAATTTAATTTTTAATGTCATAAAGTACAAAGGTTATGTTTTGTTATGGGGACTTTCCTTGAGAATGAAATCGGGGTAGGTGAAAAGGGCTAAAGAACGAAGAAGTAAAAAGGACAGGGAAACATAGAAGAAGTAAATGGTTATACAGAAATGAATTGAAGCTGCACAAAAGAGCTTAAGCTGCAGTTTAGTCGAAGAATATCAGTAGAATCATCTTTCAACATCTGCCATATTTTTATCTTCCATTGTAAAGAATATAACTAATTATATCAATTTGGGTATGCAAATTTATAAGGTGCTTAACCAATGGTGGACAATTGAAACAGATACTCCATAAACATGAAACCCAAGATCATGCCAAACATTGACCTGCATTCTTTATCCTACTTGCAACGAATGAGTTTATACGATCATTTCAATTGATTATAGAAACATAGCATTCAAACTATAGGTGCATTGTGTTCAAATTCTTAGTAATCCACCCAACAAGCTGGTGCACTTACCTAGCTTACTTTTAATGTGGAATGGAAAAGAGGAAGTCCCATTTTAAAATTCCTGCATCCAGAGATAAAATTGGAAGGATATTTGTCACAAGAAATTAGTTATAACCATATTGTTATTGTGAATTTTGTTAAAATGATGCAGAGATAAAATTGGAAGGATATTTGTCACAAGAAATTAGTTATAACCATATTGTTATTGTGAATTTTGTTAAAATAGGATAGTACTACACTGATTAATACACACGTATTGCAAAAAAAATGTATTTATACAAATATTTTATATGGGTCACAAACAAGAACTAATGAGAAGTAACAGATGTTTGAGATTGGTGTACGTAGAATGCTTATGTTATGAATTTTATCTTTGGCCAACTTCCTTTCACCCGGTGTAATATTTTTATACTTTAAATGTTTATTGTGCCATTCAAAAAGCTGTGCACTAGGATTTTCTTAATGGTTGTGGGAATTAGTTAATAATCTACATAATAAATTATAGTAGAATTAGAAAATTGTCACCGCCATTTAATATTTTCTGGATGGAGAGTGTTTTTTTGGACGAGCAATTTGGAAAGCCGGAATGCTTCTGGTATGTGTTAGCGCGGATGTTAAACTCTCTTTGGATTTTAGTAGGTCCTAACACTCATCCGGCGCACTAAGAAGTATGCTATCTTTGCTCCTGCCTTCCTTTTTATCCCGCAACGGTAACTACATGCCAAAATTTGCTCCCTTCAATTTCTGTTGTTATCTTTATTTGGTTTCAATTTAAGTAGTCGGGGTTAGGTTTTGTGAAAAAGTCAAGCTATATATTGGGTAATCAGGAAGAAGAGTAGATATAATATATGGAGGGGTTGAAGAGAGGGCGGAATATGCAGCAATTGTCAATTTTTTGGCGAAGGGACCCAAACAACTCAAATATTTGGAGTTCTTTTATTTTTCACACCACCTTGCAGCATGATGAACAGAAGGAACATGTTCATCTTCTTCCTCTCCCGCTGGTGGCTATAGCGAGCTGAGGAGCAAGGAAAGCTGTTGATCGGCAGAGGAATCAGTTCAGACAAATATTACTTTTAAATTATGTTTAAGTTTCCGAGAAGTCCCAAATTATTTAAAATATAGATAGTTAGTTAACATATATAATAAGAAATGAACTCAAATCAATCGATCAATGGGTGGGGTAAAAACTAAATTTTTTACTTAAAATCCACCCACCCATTGTTTTCGTTGTGGGTGGGTGACAGGGAATGATGGGTGAATTTGACGATTTTGGTGGGTCAAATGATTTTTAAATATTAGATAATGATGAGTCATAAAAATTTGCATAAAAATAATTTAATATCAATACTTCATATTAAGAAAATTTAGAAATATTAAACATAGTTTATTGCATATATAACACCTATTATCTCATTTGCGAACAAAAATTATTTTATTGATAGCTTTCATATTTTAAAATAATCAAATTTATAGTATACATCAAGTAAAAATTATAAAGTTAATTGTAATTTAATTGAATCAGTCATGATTAAAGTTTTGAGATAAGAAAATATAGTATATTATTATAGAATGTGCATTAATGACTTAACATATCATGTGATTTTGCGGGTAATGACCCACCCGCCACCCACCCAAGTTTAGTGAGTAACAAAAAAGTTGACTCACACCCATCCACCACATCAACCCAAACATGTAATGGGCGGGTTATTACTTCTTTTTTATTTTCTCTTTTATTTTCTTTATTTTCATTAAACACGAATATAAGCATGACACGAGCACGAATAAGCACGGCACGATGAAAACCGTGCCCGGGCCTAGCAAAAATCAACAAATGGGCTGACACGGCACGACACGAAAACTGACGGACCGTGCCAAGCACGACACGAAATAAACGGGCCCGAAGCGTGCCGGCCCAAACACGGCCCAATGCCCATATACTTCCCAAGGCAAACTACTCGACTTGCCATCGTATAATTTTAAGTAATTGAGAATTGAGAGCGAGGCAACAAAAATACAATTTAACAGGATATAAAATAAATAAAAAAGTTACCGGCCAACGGATCGGGTAAAATTTTATTTATTACATTTACAGTTTTACTCATGTTGTAGAATTAGTAAGGACTTTCTCCAAGCTTCCTTCTTTCTGGTTTCTAAGCCCAATATATGCCTCTGCACAGGCCCAATCAAACCCAAGCACAATACAGAAAAACATGGATCTGGATATTTTTTGTTATCCCAATAACCAATGACAGCCATGAAAACAGTCAAACACCATTCATGGATATTGATAATTATTCTGTTCTTCATTTTCAAATATGATAATTAATTAATTATTATGAGGTAAACACAACCATTATTTCCTTCTTAATACAGGGGATTAAACGGTCAAAACTCTACAATTCTACATCATTATACTAATTAATTCTGGTTTGACCCAATTAATTATGATGAATTGATGATTAAAATGTGAACGGCACGATAATAATACTCACTAATTAATGACTATCTGGAAAATTGAAATAATTACTCTTTTTCTCAGAGATTTATGCTTAATAATGTTTATCAAATTGAAGCAAAAAAAAAAAACCGGAGGATTATCTTTAAAAAAATGAACCGTCAAATAATATATCACTTTTTCTCATTAGCATATTCCATAAAAAGAAATTCCATTTCCACATACGTAGTTTTCTTTAATCAAAATCACCAAATTAACACCAATTAGAAATTTGTTTAACCATTATTATTTATATTAAAATTAATGCAAATTATCAATTCCAACACAAACACCACCGCCTAATTCCTCTCGTTAATTCCACGCAAAACCCCAATTAAAGACTCATAATTAGACCGAAAAACCCTACGCCTATAATTACCCTCTATATCGACACCTTCTTCGCCTTAAACCAACACACCACAACTAGCCAAAGCTCAAATATTCTCACTTTCTAAAGAAAAAAAGAAGAAAAATGGCTCGTCTGGCTTCCACAATCTCCCTCATTTTCCTCTCACTACTCGCCGTCGCCGAAGCAAAGGAGTTCATCGTCGGAGGCAAAGAGAGCAAGACTTTCTGGAGGGTGCCCGCCGGCGAGAATCGAAGTAACCTCAATTACTGGGCCGAGCAGAACAGGTTCCGGTCCGGCGACGCTCTTGGTACGTGTGCTCAGTTAATTAACCCTAGCTAATTAACCTCATCATCTTGCTTTCACTTCTCTTAGATGAGTTTTTTTTACAACATATATTTATATATGCTCTTGCTAGCGTCGGAGTCAGGATTTGAAAGTATGTGTTTTCTTGTTTCTAAAGATTATTTATTTTTCATGTGGTATTTCGTTTTTCGTATTACGCGTAAACGAGTAACAACAAGAAGTGAGATTGAATGTCATAGGAATGTACTTTGTATGACACATTTCAAGATACATACGAGAATTCCTGGGTCCCGTGACAAGTCCAAAACCTTATTTTCCCGTGACGACCAATTGGTGACGAATTCTTTGTTTTTTTTTTGTTACAGTATGGAATTCCGTCGCTAAAAGTGATTCGGTGCTGGAAGTGAGCAAGAAAGATTACGATAGCTGCACCACGACCAATCCGATCAAGGAGCTGAAGGCCGACGACGGCAAGTTCACTCTGGACCGGTCCGGGCCGTTCTACTTCATCAGCGGAGTCGAGCGTCACTGCAAGAAAGGGCAGAAGCTGGAGGTGGTGGTTCTCGCCGATAAACATGAAAACGTGCCATTGGCACCGGCACCGGCGACCGAGGCGCCTGCTCCGGCACCGGAGAAGTCGAGTGGGTCGAAGGTTGGAGCTTTGGGGATGACGTCTTTGGCGATGGTTGCAGTGGGATTGGTTTCCTTTTTGTTTCTTTAGTTTGTAGGGGTCAATTAATTGATGGGTTTAGGTCTTTGTGTTTTCGTTTTTTGTTATTTCATGATCTAGGATTTACTTTGGGAGTTTGTAGTAACGGGAGACATTGAAAGTCATCATCAAGAAGATTATCTCTAGTTAAGTAGGAGTCTAATTCGAGTGTTTAAACTATCATTTTGTGATTAATTTTGAAAGTATTTTTGGAGCTAATTCAGTACCTTGATCATCTTTGTTGCGATCTTCAATTGTTTTATCATTATTTTAATTGAGTCATACGAGAAAATGATCGTGCCCATGTTACATTATACCTATATTTTCGCATTTGGGTTTGCATATACTTCAACATCATATTAGACTCCAATTATTATCAAATTTATTTGCTATGAGAATAAGTTATATTAAAACACCAATTTTAAATAGTGGAACTCGAAATACAAAACGATAACTTGGGATCGGTCGACACGTGTTGCTATAAGTTGAACTTTTCTACCTATGCAAAACCCGCAATATATGGCTGACCCAAACGTTCACTTCCAACCCTGAGCCACATTCTTTTCAATTTCCCCCCAACTCAGAGAAGAAAACGACCCTTAAAGGACCATAACAGAGAACACGACGAAGAAAAAGGACCAAAGGGCGACGAAAACACTATCAATCCCGACGATACAATTTCGGTGGCTAATAATCAACAGCAACCAAAGTAAGAAATGGCGGGGCCAGATCAAGCGGCGAAGCAGTCGTCGGAGGTGCTGCAGCAGAGGAGCGGGCTGCCGAAGTGTCCCGTGAGGATGGCGCTCGTCGGGGCTGTCATCGCCGCCGGGCTCGGCTACACGGTTCTGTTCGCGAACAAGAAGCCCGAGGCGACGGCTCTCGACGTCGCTAAAGTTGCCACCGGCGGCAACCCTCCTTCCGCCACCAAATATTAACTAATTTACTAGCCGCGTTTTTTGAACCCCCATCCATTTGCGTTTGTTTGTCTCCTTTCCTTTGTGACATTTCCATCTTCACTAGTAATCAATAAATTTTGTGGCTTGAGATCTTTTTAATTTGTAAATTGTGTTTCATACGATGCGATTTGGATATACAACCGTACTTTAATATTGAATTGTCGAAAGTAAGGAACACGTTTGATTAATATGGGTTTTAGTGATCGGCGTGACCAATCTGACTCAGATGGAGAGCAAATCTCAAATTTTGTTACTACTTCGCTGCTTAACCTGCTGCGTTAATCATCCAGTTCAAAAAAGTATACCAACATGATGAATAAGGTTTCGTCTAGTCACACAAGTAGACTCATAACGAAATAATATAAAATAGTCATAAAAGAGTATATATGTGCAAATAAGGCAGTGCGATATATAAATCGCAACACGTACTACTCCATTAAATTGAGTTCAAAATTCAATGACTAACTTGCTAGTATTGCTACACATATTGCATTTGGAAACTGCACTTAATATTGGAAACTTCAAGGAAATGTTCATTTCATGTGTACCCTCCTTGAACGTTAGTTAAATGTAAAAATTAAGTGATCATTCTGGGAAAAAATCAATGTTCAGAGACCATTTTATCGTGTACCCCAATTCCTAGTGACCGTATGTGTAATTTACACGGGAAAGGAAGGACAGAGGACAGAGGCGAAGATAATGCGATGTCTGTCCTGTCACCGGGAGAGCCGAGTGCTGAGAACGCCACTGGGTTTTCCCAACTTCGCAGAGTTCTAATCCAGAGCCGGCAGAGAGGCATTATCACGTCCGCCGGAAGGAACCCATCATCGGAAAAATCCACCGCGTGACAAAAGCAATCGAGCAAGCTCCGCCGGTTGTCCAACGGCGAGTGCTTCGATTCCGTAGGCGTTCGTCCCTCGCTGTTTGTAGAGGATTTCTGACCTCTCTTTCTTACGGTAATTATAACTGCTCTGCCTTCTATTATCCATCGTAATCCTTCTTGTTGGTTGCCGAGGAATTATTGGTCGCGGAAATTGGAAGAGAGATGGTAGTTTCTGAACTTGGGGAGGTTTTGATTTGGGAAAATGTTCAATGCCCAGAAATGCTTCTCTTGATAGGTTTGAATGGGTCGTGAGTAGGAAAGTTTGGGCTTATGGTCTCCGAACGGTGAAAAAGTTTCATGCTTTGCTTCAGCTCTGTACAGAAATATGCAGGCTTTACTATGCCAATGGTGAAATTGGGGTGTTAGCTTAATCCATGGTTTTGTTTAGCTCACCAAGTTGTTTCAGTAGATGGAAAAGGGTTGGAGCTAGTGTCTGACTCTGTCCCTTCACAGGGCTGTTTGCATCTGCTGTTTTGGGGAGAGAGATTCTGGCTGTTCTTCAATCCCATTCTGCACCATGGCTTTCATGCCTGGTACAACGATTGTTCTTCCTCAGAAGCTGAAAGTGCAGTTTGGGCTTTCTCATCCCAGAAGATCCGAATTCGTGACAGGCGAATTCCACCAAGGCCTCAGTTCTATCGACTCCTTCCAGGTAACACGGTGAAGCTGTCTTTCAAGTTCTGTTATCTCACCACGAAGAACCACTCCTACATTAGCGAGCTCGAGAGATTCTCACGTTTTGGTCTTTGGTTACCATTGCTACATCATATTAGTAACTGAGCAAGAAATTTTGGATTAGGTGACTTAAGCTTTGTATTCTATATTGTTGCTTCTGTATCTTCTGTACAGCCCACTACATCGAAACTCCCTCTTCCATTATCAAGAAAGTTGCGGCATACTCGTGCATTGGTTGCCTCAAGAGAGTACCCTCAGAATGCCGACTTCCCTAGATACTACGGTAGAAAGGAGAAGAAGCCCTTTCCAATACCAGTAGTGGAGTTAAGACGAAATGCCAGGCAGAGGCTCAAAGACAGGAAAGGCAAACCCAAAGGCCGCCCCCCTCCTCCAAAGCAAGGGCTGGTTGTCCAAAGCCTTGTCCCTCTCGCTTATGATGTCTACAATGAGAGGATCACGCTGATAAACAACATCAAGCGGTTGTTGAAAGTGGTCCACGTCCATGCCTGCGGGTAAATGTCTCCTTGTCTCCTTAACCCGAATCTAGTTGTTTAGTTGTTTGAGTAGTAGGGATAGGGTGTCTGAACTAGAAACTTTGACCTTACTGTTTTCAAGGTGGTGTGATGAGATCCACGTAGGGCCTGAAGGGCACCCGTTCAGCTCTTGTAGAGGCAAGTACACTAGTGTCCGGAAGGGACATCATGAGTGGACAAATGCAGTTGTTGAAGACATACTCGTCCCAGTCGAAGCATACCACCTCTACGATCGTTTGGGGAATCGAATTCGACATGACGAGAGATTCACAGTCCCCAGGATCCCGGCTGTGGTCGAGCTATGCATCCAAGCAGGAGTCAACATTCCTGATCTCCCAACCAAAAGGAGGAGAAAGCCAGTGGTTTGGATCGGCAGAAAAGAATTCGTCGATGCAGATGAGAGTGAGCTTCCTGACCCAGTCCCGGAGCCTCCTCTGAAGCCATTGCTGTCTGAAATCCCCAACTCCGAGATAGTTCCTCCATCGAGCCAAGAGGAAACGACGTTACTGGCTGAGGAAACCTTAGCAGCTTGGGATAAAATGAGGAAAGGTTCCAACCGGCTGATGAAAATGTACCCGGTTCGAGTATGTGGCTACTGCCCCGAGATCCATGTTGGACCGAGCGGGCATAAGGTGCAGATATGTGGAGCACACAAGCATCAGCAACGAAATGGGCAGCACGGTTGGCAGGCTGCTGTGCTCGACGATTTGATACCTCCGAGGTTCGTGTGGCATCTCCCTGAACCGATTGGGGAGCCATTGAAACGTGAGCTGAGGAGCTTCTATGGACAGGCGCCTGCTGTCGTGGAGATGTGCGTGCAAGGTGGCGCTGCTGTGCCGGAGGAGTATAAAACTACTATGAGGTTGGATATTGGGATTCCTTCTAGTAGCAAAGAAGCTGAAATGGTTGTTTGAGGTTCTTCAGAAGCTCTGCAACATAATGCAGATCTGGAAATGTACAGAATATTTGACATGAGGGATCGAACTAATGGTAATCTGCGCTTGATAACATCAAACGTATGTTAGATTCGAACCTTGGTGTTAATATTACTCATAAACAGGGAATTTATGGTGTTTTTGTAGTGGAATCTTGAGACATCCCCTAGATTGGAATCTTGTAACCTTGTCATTGTGAAACGTTTTGATTGGTAACATCGTGGATCATTCATCCTTGTTAAAGAAAACAACTTGTGAATCATCATATTGCTTTGCGAAGTGAAAATATACGAGAGAATCTAGGATGGAAATCTTGTGCCCCACACACATAATTTTGAATTCTCATTTCTCAACCATCAACCATCAGACTTTATGTTCATGGTCCAACAAGAATAGCAGCATGCCGCTCTCTATCAGCACCTCAATTGGATCGAATACATACCTAATCAGAGGTGTCGAAAAACTTATAGCCTCTAGCTATGAGGGTTTGTAGAGGCAATGTGAGTTGTGGGATCAAGGAGGAGAGATCAAGCTCGAACGAGAGAGGTTGAGGGGCTGGTAACAGGGGTCGAGACCTTAGGCCGAGGCTCAAGGCAGACAAGATCTGGCTGGAGTGAAGAATGACGTCCTAGTGAGGCATTGGTTGATCGAGAATAATGCATTTTTATACGAGTCTTTGTTTACAAGCTATTAGACCAACGATTATTCGAAATTGTGATATACAGGTCGAAAACTAATGATGTTGCTCTTAAACCAAACCTTATTCGTCTTGTTCTCAACTTGATATAAAGTTATGAAAATTGAAAATGGTCCATTGAAATTCTTGAAATATATGATTAGCAGCAATTAAAAGCTAACAGAAGTGGTTGGAAATCAAATTCCATCACTACCTATTCTGCAGATCTATCAACCAAAACTGAATGCCTCTAGAACCAATAATGCACAAGAATTTTACTGGCCGCTCATTTCCTAGAAGTTCTCGTGGTGAAAAGGAGGGCATAGAAATAGAACTCGAGAATGGACAAACTGAGGAAGGCGACACGATCCGCCGCGCCGCGCAGTTACAGTCTCCTCTTACAGATCAACCAGAACAGAAGCAGAGAAAAGCCACAGCCAAAGAGCCACTCGGCCAGTTTTCTCTCGTCACCCATTTCCCATTCCCCAGCCGCTGGAAAAACCTGCAACAAAAAGCGTAAAAGGGCGCGCCAGAGGATAACGATCAACGAGATTTTATCACCTTCTATAAACTATTACCTCGAGTTTCACAACTTCTTGTTCACCACTTTCCCTTTTGATATGAACCCTTTTCTTGCCTTCCCTCCTTCCTTCGAACCCTACAATTCGTTTCTCAACTTGACTTTTTAGAACCAGCAGAAGGGTACTTCGAATTGGGCAACCCTTTTCCCGGGTTTTTTCTGTCATCCCCGCCATCACCATGGACGTCGCCTCTCGTCCGCTCCACTCTCCGCTTCTCCTCAGTAAAGCTTTCTTCTTTTTGTCCCTTACCCGCGTTTCAAATTTTCATTTCCTATGTTCTCGTGTTTTGATTCCCGCTCCATTCGTGAAATCCAAATCTTGCAGGTTGTAGAAGACCGTGGAGCTCTTCTTTATCGCATTCGTCAACGGTAATCTTCCTTTCACTTCCTTCGTTTTCTGATTCTTAGTTGGATTGGGGTTCCCGTTGTCATGGATCACCATGGGCACTTGATAATTGGTTGTTGTCTGGGTTGGGATTTTTTCCTGTTTGGTTTCTGGGAAATGTCTGGTGTATGAGAGGGAATTTGTGATTTGTTAGGCAGAATGGCGAGGGATTATTTTGATTGACGTAATTGCTTTATGATTCAATGCAGTTCTCGTCATATAGAGGACAGTCCAGCATAAAGCTTCCAACTTTGACTAGTACCAGTATCTGTAAGTGACTCAATCCACTGAACAGGACTTTGTTTTCTTTGATTGCAGCCTTTTTAATTTGCCAGTTCTTTGAATGTTAGTTCCTTTGGCCAAGAATTATGCTTTCCTTTGTTTTCTGTTGATAATATTTGGATATGTTGTTGGTCTGTTCATTTATGCCCTCTTCTTTTGTTCCTTGTTTTCCAGCTGCTCTAAGTAGTTTTTCATGCCTTTCAAGGAAGCACACAACTTTGCCTTGGTGTTGTACTTCTGAAGAGCAGTTCAACGCGCCAACGTGTTTCAATGGTACAATATCGAAGCATACTAAGTTGTTCACACGAATCGTTGCACAATCTGAGCTTGCTGGTGTTGGGATTACAGATACCGACATTAATCCATCATCCGGTCTCTCTCTCTCTCCCTCAATGAATTTATTTCGCTGTTTAGTTCTGTGCTTCAATTCTTGTCTAACTATTGCCTTTCGGAATGCAGAGGTTAGTCTGCTCTCGAAAGCCAGAGGAATTGGCTTCTATACAGTCACTGCTATTGCTGCATTGCTCCTTATTGTTCTGATGCTAGTGCAACACCCTCTCGTGCTTTTGGCTGATCGATACAGAAGAAAAGCTCATCACCTTGTTGCAAGTGTCTGGGCAACGATAACAGTAAACCCATTTTTCAAAATCGAGTTTGAAGGAGTGGAGAATCTGCCACCTTCAGACACACCAGCAGTCTATGTTTCTAATCATCAGAGCTTCTTAGATATATACACTCTCCTCACTCTAGGAAGAAGCTTTAAGTTCATCAGCAAGACCGCGATTTTCCTGTACCCGGTTATTGGATGGGCCATGTCCATGCTCGGTACAATTCCTCTCAAGCGCATGGACAGCAGGAGCCAGTTGGTAATGTAACATTCTTCCTTGGATACCTTTTTAGAAAGGAAGTTGCTTAATTTTTAGCTGAACATGAAACCAACACTTGCATGACTGTTATGTTTGTAGGAGTGTCTTAAACGATGCATAGACTTGGTGAATAAGGGGGCATCAGTCTTCTTCTTTCCTGAGGGGACTCGTAGTAAAGACGGTAAATTGGGTGCTTTCAAGGTGAGACGAAGAGTTGTTTCTTTCCCATCAAACAAGAGTTGCTTGCTATGAGTCTGAGATCTCACATGGATTCCATGTTGATACTCAAGTCTCATTTCTGGTGTTTGAACATGCAGAAAGGTGCATTCAGCATTGCAGTGAAAACTGGAGTGCCAGTAGTCCCCATGACGCTTATTGGAACCGGAGGGATCATGCCTCCCGGAAAAGAAGCCATCTTGAATATGGGTTCTGTGAAGGTTATCATTCATAAGCCGATACAAGGAAATGATGCAGCAGCTCTCTGCGAGGAAGCTAGAACAGTAATTGCAGGTCCACTTAACCAGCAAAGTTAGCAAGATATCTTCCAATCCTGCCATCATTCCAGTCCGAAAGTTTTGGAACTCACTCAACACCATCAACAGAAGCTTTTTCCATAGTAGGAAAGGAAATAACAGAAGCTATCAAGGCAGGACTGAGAGTCCCATTTTCTGGAAGTCTGACTGCGGAGTCTGAGAAGTTTGATTGGGACGATGTCGATGTATAGCCATTAATCATTCTCCGGCCACGGCAGGGTCTGTTCGCAGCAGATGATCTCAGCTCCATTTGAGTCTTCACTCTGCAGGCCAAAGGCTTTCTTGAGCAGCTGGTGATGAGTATGGAATTCTACCATTGTATTTCTTTTTGGAAATTCTTTTGGAAGTGTACTTTCTGTTCCCTTTTGTCATTTCTTTTTTGGCTTAAAACAATTTGCAATTTGTGAATGGCCAGACTGAGAAAGGAATCAAGGAAACTAATAATGCCAGAAGTGTGGATACTTGGAAAGAGTATCCCATAGTTTGTTTGATTTCAGACTTTATTTTGTGAGATAGGATAATCTTAAAAATTCCAAATATGCCAAGAATTGGCTGTGTTTGTAACATGGTCCATGAAACAGTACCGGAAAAGTCAGCGGTAGGGTATTTTATGGCAAAACCGTGGTTTAACCCGTAGTTCAACCGTTAATACCGTTAAATACTGCCTACCGATTTAGCCTCCGATACTGGTATTTTGTGGTTGAACCGTCGGTACAATACGGTTTCATGGACCATGGTTTGTAACCATAATAGTGGAGAGTTAACTCCCAGGTCGAGCGGTTGAACATTCGGTTTGGTTCGCCTTCGACCCGGGTCCAAATCCTGATGAGAATCATGGTTAAGTTCTTGTAAGAGAGCAAGAATCGTGGAATGAACTGGTTTGTCATAGGCACCGGTTCAAATCCCAACGAAAATCATGGTTTGGTAATTCTTGAAATAAAAACTAGAATCATGAAATGGATGATTCTCATCAATGTATCACTCCTAAATCCTTGCTTTCAACGAATCATTAACTAGATGATTGTTAATTATATTACCTTAAAGTTGTGACAATGTGCTCCTCTGCTAGCTTTGCTGCCAATCAGTGGTTAGCCGGCCAAGCCTATGACATTGTCTAGAGGCGAAAATTATCATCAAACATTCAATATACACTCTAACATACCGTTTGGTATAAATGAATTTCTCATATGAATTTCATAAGTTTTGAGAAATTCATTTGGAAATGAAATATTTTTGTGTTTGGTATTTAAAAGAATTCAATTTCAGTTCTAAATTTTGAATTTGATGGAAATGGAACTAGTTATAGCAATTCCGAGGAATTGAGATGGAATTTCCAAATGAATTCCACAGGTATTTACTAATTATAATAGAATGACATAATTATCTTCTTTTACTAACTAAATTACTTATAATACATATGACATACCAAACACAAGATTTCATTTGACAATGAATTCTACACTGCAAATCATTTTATTTCTAAAGATTTGAATATGACATACCAAACACAAGATTTCATTTGACAATGAATTCTACAAGGTAATTCATTTTACAATGAAATGAATTCTCGATCCATTTGATACCAAAAATCATTTTCCTTTGTTTCATTTTCAAAGTTATAGGACCAATGCTCATGGTTTTGTTTTTTTTCCAGTATAGGCCAATACTACGGTGCCGCTGTAAAAACTGCGGCACCGGTGCCGCTGTTGGTGCCGCTGTCTTTTGATTGGTCCACATAGGAATGATGTGGCGCTGGTAGGTTTACTAAACCCAACCTAGATTCAGTGACCATTAACCGGCCCAAATCGCCATCGAGCCAAGTAATGGAGTATTTGTTGTTCCGTCTTCCCTCCGTTTACCGTTCTCCTTTTTAGTTTTTAGTTTTTACATTAATATTCTTTTGTGTAACTGTTGACTTTATACGTTTTTGTCTAGCAACAAAAAACAAAACACAGAAGCCGCCTCTGTCTTCCTCGCTCTCCTACTCCGGCGGACGGTGACAAGCAGTTTCGGCCAACTTCCACTAAACTCCTCTATCGGTGATTCAGTCTCCAGTCTATAGTACCATAGACATCCACTAACCTCCACCGCCTTCCTCTTCCATTTATTTCGTGAGAAAGAAAACGAAAAATCCTTCACCCCGACCGGCACTCTGTCTATGTCGAAATGTTCCCCGTCATCGTACCACACCCAATCCAAAGAAAAATAGAATGGCCCTTCCTCTGGGTTTGCTGTGTTAGTCTTTCCTTTTTTTTCTATTATGTCTTGCTTTGCTCTTTCGCTTGATGCTTCGTTTTCTTGAGGCGGTGCTCTGTTATGCTGAACAAGAGTGAAGAGAGAAGGCAGGGGAGAAGACGGACTAAATGGAGGGGAGGGGTCTGATAAAAAATTAAAAATTAATCCCTCCCCACTCTGCGTCCTCCCTGTCGTAAGCGTCAAATTCGAAGCTAAAGTTCGTTGGAGGCAGCGCCTTTCCCCAACGAAATTCAGCTGCAACCCACCTATTTTGATAGGTCAACTCAACGCAGCAGGTTTTACATTAGCTCTCAGCTTCACTGAGGAATTAATTAAAGAGCAACGATGTCGACCACCATGAGGAGTTCGCTCTCACTTCGATCTGGGCAATAAGACCGCGTCAAGAATACCGAGCCCACCAAACAAAAAGAGCGACCAAACATCGACATTCAGGATGTCAATTGGGAGCAAAATCAGGGAAAGAAGAGATGTCGAGGACGGAGACGGTGAACGAATTTAGTGGAGGTTAATCAAAGAGGTTATAAAGGTTGATTGATTGGCGGCGGATAGGTTCGCTGGGAAATTTTCTTGCTTTGACAGTCCACCGGAGGCCGGAGCTGGAGGGCGAGGAAACGATGATTGCTTCTGCTTCTCGTCCTCCTTTGTTTTCGTCAATTAAATATTATGGAGTTAATAACGAGAAAAAAAAGGAATATGAACTAGAGATTAGACGGACGGAATCAAAATCTCCGTGTGGGTGGCTTGGGCCCAACTACTAACCAAACGATAAGGCTTGGGTTTGAATAACCCAAGCAGTTCCACATCATTCCTATGTGGACCAATCAAAAGATAGCGGCACCGGTGCCGCACTTTTAACTGCGGCACCGTAGTATTGGCCTCCAGTATATGTCAGAAACAGAACTGGCCCAAGCCCACGAGACAGATCGATCACATTAGAAAGTCATTGGAGTCGAACAGTTAGGTTCATATTGAGCTCCATTAACGTGTGTTAGATTCAAAGTTGTCGAATTAAAACACTTCGAGTTAACGTAAATCGTACAAGGCATATATCTTAACTACACTCTCATCTGGTCAAATCTGAATCCTATCGACTTGTCTAGGCAAGGACAACTATTTTCTACCAAGTGGACGATAACATGTTAGGGTTCGTTTGGATGTGGAAATGTAATGCAGTAATTGGACCCAATTACCACATAATGCAGTAATTGGGTTAAAAACCCACGTTTGGGAGAGCAAAAAGGGTATGGGAATTGGACCATGGAAATTGGCTTCAATTACCACATTCATGGTAATTGAGAATACTACACCTCCCCCTAGTAATTTGACATTACCACGTTTTCTCACTTCTTTTTCCAAATTCCACACCATCAATTCCCACAAAACTAAACCCTATCCAAACGTGAATTTTTTTCAATTTACACAAGTCAATTCCTTGGTTTTGTAAAACATGGAAATTCAGACAAATTCCAACGTTTTCAAATTTCCACATCCAAACGACCCCGTAGCCTCCTATCTATGCTTTTTGTTTGGTTGTATTTTGACTTGAGAGAACATGGAGAAAAGAAGAATATATTGTTGCAATTTTTTGCAAGGACTATCTGAACAAGAATAATTGTTCCAAACAATTACTTCTCAATTCTTTGACTGACCGGCAGAGGAAGGCAAAGATCAGTTTCTTTTCCGTGTCAAACTCTTTCCCTAACGGCTTTGGCTAACTCAATTGACCAATAGACGACAACACATCTCGTCGAAAATTAACCTCGCACATCTCGCCGCCGGCGCCGGCCATTAAACGCCGCCGTAACGAGGCTACTTGCGCAATTCACCGACTCCGCCACTTCATTTGAGGAAAAAGGGAAAAAATAATGTATTTCTTTCCTTTCTGTCTCCTACTCTCCATTTTAGTCCTACTCCTTTCTCCTCTGTCGCTGGCCATCTGATGAAGGTCAAATTGTCCAAGTGTGAAAACTGAAATTAGAGAAAACCAAAAAAGACTCCTTCTTTCCTTCCTTTTTCTCAACCTTCTTCTTCCTTTCCCTGCTTTCTCCAACTCGACGGATATTACTCAAAGATTCTTCTGTTCTTCTTCTTCTTCTTCAGCAGTTTCTGGGCTGAACCTGAGAGGAAAGGGGCAAATTTTCGTACCCGAATCCCAAAATTTCCGCCTTTCGGATTCTGATTCTCGTTTCCATAGCCCTCTCCCCTCTTCTGTTTCTACATCGTGAAGCTTTGCTGCTTTGTTCATGTCGAATCTTACTGTAAGTTTGGTTTTGTTCCTTCTACTCGTCGATAAGATCAGTTACGTAGACTAAGCTGTGTGTATGTTGCATTGATAAGCGGACTTTCTTATGTTAAAGTTCCTTCATTTATGGGTAAAAAGGTCGGATTGAGAATTGGGGTTTATGTTGGTAATTTTGGTGGGAAGTCTGAAGAGTGGCTCCGAAATTTTGAACTTTGTCCTGGGGATGTGAAGGATAATTTCAACTCTGTGGAGGATTTCCATGATGTTTAGTGGCTATAGATGTAAGTTTTGAGCCTTGGTTTGGTAACTTCATGAAATTTTGGAGGGTCAACGATGAATATTTGCAGGTAATGGTGATGCTGCTATAGAGATCCGATGTCATCATCAAGTTTGGAATTTGGCAGGTTCTGTATGTTGGTTGGTTCTGGGGTTCTTTTACCTTGGGGGTTTGTTTGGATTACCATTTCCTTATGTCATGTAGTTTTGAAGGTCGATTGCGCAATTGATTTCCTTTTCTCCTCAATTTCACTCCAGTACTATGGTCATTTGGATTGGTATTCAAGTTGGTGCTGTTTAAGTGCTTTGAAGTGATAGTAGAAATGGTACTATGAACAACAGAATAGCTTTCATGTGCGAGAATTGGGACATTGCAGGTGTAGTTGATCATTTTGTTCGGAAGCTTAATGAAAATCTCCATGCTAACTTTCAGGTGATGTGTTCAGTTGCTTAAGATGTATGATTGTGGTTTAAAGACACAGTACCTGCCTGGCCAAAGAGACAAATTTGTTAGGTACCATGTTTTACTATTAATAGAAGGGAATAATTCTGAGAAACCATGTTTAGATTTTTATTGCTTGTCATTTATATCTGTTCGTCTATCTATCAGACTGGATGATTTGGACTCAAGAGTATCATCCTCGCCCTCCGAGGCAGGGCTGAGAAGATGTGGATTTGGCATTGATGCGCTAAACTGTGCTGGTCAAGCACCTGATACACCATCCAGATCTTTTAAGAATGGAATCAAAAGGGGATCAGAAGGACTCAAATCCATTGGCCGTTCACTTAGATTCGGAGTGTCTCGTGGTGTCTTCCCTGAGGATCTTAAATCATCAGAGAAGAAGATATTCGATCCTCAAGACAAGTTCCTCTTGTTGTGCAACAAGCTCTTTGTGGTATCTTGCATTTTGGCTGCATTTGTAGACCCACTCTTCTTTTACCTCCCGGTTTTCAATGATGCGGGGTTCTGCCTTGGGATTGATCGGAAATTAGCTCATACAGTGTCAACACTAAGGACAATTGTTGATGCTTTCTACCTTGCTCGAATGGCTCTCCAGTTCAGGACGGCTTACATTGCACCTTCTTCTCGTGTGTTTGGTCGTGGTGAGCTGGTGATCGATCCCACACAGATAGCTAAGCGATACATGCAACATTACTTCTGGATCGATTTCCTCGCCATCTTTCCCCTTCCACAGGTATGAGGTTCTTGCCAAACAATCGGTACATTTGTTTGCCTATCTTGGATGCACTTACAATTTGCTTGCATCTTGCATGTTATCAGAATGTCACTGTTATAGGGGTTGATTTCATAAACAGTAACTAAACTTTGTGTGCCACTAACAAAGTGGTCACTGAATTTTGATTTTCACTAATTCGTCGCTGAACTTTTGGAATAACTAACATCTCCTATCTTGGATGCACTTACAATTTGCTTGTTTTGCAGCTTTTGGTTCAGTTCTTGTGAACCCCTGCTGTTGCCGCTGTGATCTTTTGTACTTTTGATATCTTTCCTTTTCTTGTTAATGCATTTCACCATTAAAAAAAAACCCATCTCCATCAAGTTTTTCATCCAAATTGCTCAGACCAGTGTGTCAGCTCAGACCATTTCAGTAATGAGAAGGGCCACCCTCAAAGTTGCAATTGAGTGATGCAAGGAAAGCATTATGGTGGTTTTTGTATGTCTTAGAATTGGGTCAATTAATCAATTTGATTTTTTGATTGGGTATGTGCAAGAATGTCTTCCATGGCAACAAATTAGTGTATATGCGACCTTTTTTATTGTTAATTTGGTAGTTTGCATGCTAATCTCGGGAGGGATAACCTGTTGGAGATGGACGGAGTAACTATTATGTTAGTTGTTCCAAACTTCTATAACTAAAAGAAGTTCGATGGCCGATTTTTTAGTGGACCCGAAATTGTAATGGCTATTTATGTGATTGACCAGCTATACTATTAATTCTCTCATTAACCAAAGGCTTCTTTTTGTGCTTGATTCATTCACTTATACATAAATCCTTTCCCAAAAGCCTAATTATTAACGATGCTTGCAGATTGTGGTCTGGAAGTTTCTTCAGAGGTCCCGTGGCTCTGATGTCCTAACAACGAAAAGAGCCATCCTAGCCATCATTTTGCTCCAATACATTCCTAGATTCCTCCGGTTCCTACCTTTAACATCGGAACTCAAAAGAACAGCAGGTGTCTTTGCAGAAACTGCGTGGGCGGGTGCTGCTTGTTACCTGCTCCTATACATGCTTGCAAGTCATGTAGTCGGTGCATTGTGGTACTTGCTAGCGATAGAGAGGAAAGACGCATGCTGGCAGAAGTTCTGTACCCCAGAAGTAAAATGCCAGACCAATTTCTTGTACTGTGGGAACCAGTTCATGACAGGGTTTGCTGATTGGATTCCCTTGAGGAACAACACTCTTGAGTCAAATTGTGTGACGAAAGAAGAGGGACCATTCGATTATGGGATCTTCTTGAATGCTTTGTCGTCCGGGGTTGCCTCCTCCAAGGAGTTCGTTGCTAAGTATTGCTATTGCTTGTGGTGGGGACTTCAGAATCTTAGGTAATATGCACATATTTTCTTTTTCCGATATGCAAGTGAAAGTAGATATGCAGAGGTTTTAAGCCTGGGGAGGTATATGACTTGTGTGGTATCGGTGGTCTACTTGTTTGTGTAGTACACTTGGTCAGGGGCTTCAAACCAGCACATACCCTGGAGAGGTTATCTTCTCCATAGCACTTGCGATATTTGGACTCATCCTCTTCGCACTTCTCATTGGCAACATGCAGGTAATGATCGATGTTTGTTGGGGTCGTTTGGTTACCACACATTTTGTTTGCATAGTTTCAGATTCTTGCTATTTCTGAAAATTTGGTGTTGCCTTTATGTTATGACAGACCTATCTCCAGTCGCTTACGATACGTTTGGAAGAGATGAGGGTGAAAAGGCGCGACTCAGAACAATGGATGCGCCATCGCTTGCTCCCAACCGAACTCAGAGAAAGGGTAAGGAGATATGACCAGTACAAATGGTTGGCAACTCGTGGAGTTGATGAAGAGATTCTGGTTCAGAGCCTGCCTAAGGATCTTAGAAGAGACATCAAACGCCATCTTTGTTTGGCATTAGTCCGACGGGTAAGCCTCCTCGTCAGTGAATCCTTTTCGGGGCCTATTTGTTTACCGTGGATTCATAGTCGTTATTTTGAAGATACTTGGACTTCTACATTGTTTCACACTATATGCTAACGATGTAGGTATTCTTTAAATCACAGCTTCTGAATGCATGAATCATTTAAATCCATGTATGTTTCTTGATGAACTGTTATGAACCTCAATGTACATTCTTGCTGTGTAGGTTCCTCTGTTCGATAACATGGACGAGAGGCTGCTTGATGCCATATGCGAGCGGCTGAAACCATGTCTGTTCACTGAATCGACGTACATTGTCCGAGAAGGCGATCCAGTCGACGAGATGCTATTCATTATCAGAGGACGCCTCGAGAGTGTAACTACAGATGGTGGGAGGAGCGGCTTCTTCAACCGTGGATTCCTCAAAGAAGGAGATTTCTGTGGTGAGGAGCTCTTAACCTGGGCCCTCGATCCCAAATCAGGCGGCAACTTACCAACCTCAACCCGAACCGTGAGGGCCATAACTGAAGTCGAGGCCTTTGCCCTGACAGCCGACGAATTGAAGTTCGTAGCTAGTCAGTTCAGACGCCTCCATAGTAGGCAGGTGCAACACACGTTCAGGTAAGGGTGGCAAATGATTTTGGTTCAGTGATAGATCAACGGTTTCTTATTACCCCCTTAACGTTTTCCTGTTACTGCTTTGGTTGATCGAACTGGTTAACCATGCCTATGTTCAGGTTCTACTCGCAGCAGTGGAGGACTTGGGCCGCGTGCTTCATCCAGGCTGCCTGGCGACGGTACCTGAAGAGGAAGAACATGGAGCAGCAGCGTCGGAAGGAGGAAGAGGAAGAAGCAGCGCAGAGCATGAGTGGCAGCGGCGGAGGAGGCTCGTTCAGCATAGGCGCCACATTCTTGGCCTCGAGGTTCGCAGCAAATGCTCTTCGTGGGGTCCATCGGAACAGGAATGCCAAGACGGCGAGAGAGTTGGTGACACTGCAGAAGCCTCCTGAGCCTGATTTCACTGCTGATGATGCAGATTGATTCATCGATATAAAAACCCGTAAATTCGACTACTCCTAAGTCATTATCATTATTATTCTAATTGCTGTAAACTCTATGCTTTTTCCATCCCTAAGACACTTATATCATTTTTGCATGAAACCAGCTTGGTTTGTAAGGCTTGCTAATGCTATTTCCCACCCTTCCCTCACACCTTACCTATAGTTCTTACTTTGTACGTGAAAGACAAAACATCATAGTAGCCCACCTTAATTTTAGAAATGATTGTATGATTGTTACAAAGTTTGTTGACTCTAGAGTCTAGACTCACATTTCATTCAATGCTTATGTGTTGCTCTCCATCTCTAGCCATACAATTTTCCTACTTCATTCCTTCTTTGCTCTACGAAACTCGAACCGAAAGGGAGCTCCGACTTCACTAGATTAACCTGTTGTCCTGCTTCGTCCTTGTATGCATCTAGAATTGTCTTCCACTGTTCATTTCCGTGGCAGGTCCCTCTTGCAAAGAAGATACTATCATCTGCAAATATCTGGTATGAAATAGTGGGGCTGCTTGGTGGTTAAACCTTTGTACTCTTGAGAATTTCCTTCTGCCATTGCCTGGATAGTTAACCCCATGTCGTAAGCATCGTTTCGTACAAAAGATCTTCTTCGATTTGTGGCAATGAAACCGTGGTACATATGATTCGATTTGTTACTTGAGGCTTACTACATGTAGACTTAGGTATTTGATGTTGGGAAGACTTGCTATTTTCAACTTTTAAGTGCTTGTTAATGTAGGTTTACCTGCTTCTCTCTTGCATCCCATCTGTTTCACGAACACAAACAAATACCTCATGACCACTGCCTTTCGTTCACCAGCAGAACACCTAAAAGTCCAGAAACCTGTCCCTTACCCAAAATAGACAGTCTATAAATAATGCCAACATAACCTAACCAATGTGCGTCTTTCTCAAATCCATAGAACCCTAACCCATAGATAAGTCATCAACTATGATGATCATGCCAAGTCTCACTCCACTCTGCACCATCTTCCTCCTCGTCGCCATAACATCAACTGCTCGAGTCTCCACCACTCGTATAACGATGAGATTGATTCATCGCGACTTGATCTCCACCCCCACCGGTTCGACATCACTACCCACGTTAGCATCCGACTCGGAATCCACATCGACCCACATTGAAGCGAACTTGATCCAATCGAGCAACACGATCTACTACGTCAACTTCTCCATCGGAACCCCCCCTGTCCCGCAGCTGGCGGTCCTCGACACGGGGAGCAACCTGATGTGGGTCAAATGCCTGCCCTGCGAGCCCTGCTCCCCTCTCTCGGGGAAGCGCTTCTTCGACCCCGCGACGTCCTCGACGTTCGTCCCCAAATCCTGTGACTTGCACTGCAAGAAATGCAACGACATGGCGCAGTGCGAGTTCAGGCTCACCTACTCTAGTGCCCCGTCGGCAGTTGGCATCCTGGCGACGGAGCAGCTGACGTTCTCGACGTCGGACGGCGGGACCACGGTCGTGCCGAACATCCTGTTCGGATGCACCCGCAAAACCCGGGACCTGCCCCAGCAGAGCCATATGACTGGGGTGATGGGCCTTGGGCCGGGCCCCAATTCGCTGCTCTGGCGAATTGGGACCCACCCGAAGTTCTCCTATTGCATCGGGGACGCCCAGAACCCGCTCTACCCGTACAACCGGTTGGAACTCGGGGACGGAGCGATCATGGAGGGTTATTCGACCCCGTTGGTTATCGAATCGGGCCGGTACTACGTCGACGTGGTCCGAATCAGCCTCGGTGGGTCGACCCTGGAGATACCAAAGTCCGCATTCGCCAAAACCCCTGGGGTTGACGATGGAGTCATCGTGGACACCGGTGCAAAGGTGACTCACCATTTTCTACCTTGTCTAGTAGTTGGTAAAAAAAATTGTAACAAAACTAGTAACAAAACAAAAGGTGGCGAATTGAATTCGAGTCTGTTCAGTAGCACCTGTGACACCATACGACGTACATGTCGATTTTTAATGACTTAAATCGCGTATCAGTAATCAAGTCGATACGACATTAAATCGCGATTTTGGGTGTACAGATGACCTACCTACACAAAGACGCTTACGACGTGCTGGAGTTCACGGTCCGGGACTGGCTGCGAGGCTCGAAATGGACACGTGTCTACCCCGAATTCGCGAGGGGACGGCAGATCTGCTACGGCGGGAAGGCGAGGGAGGCGGCGGAGATGTTCCCACTGTTGGGGATCCATTTCGCCGGCGGGGCGGCGCTGTACATGGATGGGTTAGGGACTTTCTTGCAGCACGACCGGGACATCTTCTGTTTGGCGTTTCTGGAGGCTGATTATGGCGAGTCGAGTTGCATCGGGATTTTGGCTCAGCAGAATTACAATGTCGGGTTCGATCTGTCGGAGAAGAAGGTTTACTTCCAGAGGATTGACTGTAAGGAGCTGGATGAGTGATAGTGATTTATTTATTTTTATTTATTAACTTGTACTTAATTAAATGGACACAAGTTGGATTAATCTTGATTACATGACCTTAATTATAGTTAAAGATGGTATTCAATCTTTGATGTAAAACACACACCAATGTTAATCCTTAGTATAAAAAATTGAGATAAAATAAAAGTAGAATAGTGTTGGGGTGAGCGCTCTCATCGCTATTACCACGAAACCAGGAACAGGGGCGCGATTGACACACCAACCTTTTTTTCACCGCTTAATGCAACCTCCCTCTCGCCGCTTAAGGGGTGCATCGGGAAGACGCGAACCTACTCTGACAGATGAGTCATGTCACACTCTTTTCCCACCTAATCTGTAGCTACTATAAATATAGCATTTACTCCACCAAAGAAGGGATCGATCTTTTCTCTCTCTGATTATTAATACAAATTCTCATTTCTCTCTCTAAGAATCTCTCTCTCAATCTTAGTTCAAATGCTTGCCTCCCTCGTCAAAACGACATCTCCCCACACTTTTACACTGCAGGACTCCTACTCACCAGCCTTGCACAAACAAGTAGATACGACAATGGGTCAGATTGTAGACGGATTCCAGATATTCACTTGTATGCTTACACATAATTTTTATGCCTTAAATTAATTTTTTTTTTGCTATCAGGTTTAGATATTGATTAATGAAATATCGAGATATATGATAACTTTCTCCTTATGTTAAAATGTACTACGAATTATGACTATATTCATAGGGTAAAAATGAAAAAAGTACTATGAATATTGAAAAATGTTGAGCGAAAGTGGCGATTTACATGAGTACGAATATTGTCACATAGATAATTTGGATAGAGGATTAACTAGGTTCATATTGAATACTGGAAAAAAATTATGCTTCACCGTTATAAGTAATATTCAAATTTGAATTCTACTCAATCCAATCTACCAACAACTCATTTGATTTAGATTTCGTATTATCTGATTGAATCAGATTAGATTAAACATCTATCAATTATGGATATGCTATCTAATCCTTAACTACCGCCCATAATCCACGCTGGAATTTTTTTTTTTTTTTGATGGGCACCCACGCTGGAATTCAATCCCACCAACGGCCATCCACCCTCCGCAAGTAGGAAAAACTATTGACGAGCTCCGGCGGCACGCTCCGGCAAAGAATCCCCGGCGGGTCCCTCCTCTGCTCGACCAGACCCAAGATGGTGAGTCTCTCAACCGCCGTCACGAGGTTGTGAGTGAGCTCCCCGCCGAATCCGTGCACCAACACGCGCCCGTCGTCGTACAGATTCCAATCCTTGACCTCCGCCCTCACATTTCTCCAGGCCTCGATCCGAATCTCGGCCTCTCTCCCGCAGGTCCGCCGGACGGATCCGTTACTCAGGGGACGGCCCCGTTCGCCGAAGGACTCCCGGTCCACCCGTGACGTCACGATCCGGACCCCGGGCCGCTCCGATTCGCAGAACCGGTAGGTGGAATCGTCCCGCGGGACGAACACGGTGATTTCGCCGTCGATGCGGCAGAGCACCTCCGCCGCCGCGAATTTGGATACGAGGTCGGGGACCAAGGCGGAGTAGTTTCCGCGGGAGAGGAGGGCGTCCACGATTTTGGACACGGTTGGGTTGTTTCTGTTGGGCGGGATCAGGCCACGCGGCGGCGGCGGCGGCGGCGGCGGCGGCAGTGGTGATGGGGAGAGCTCGGGGGAATGTTCGGGGAAGACGATCAATAGATGGATGCAGCAGCAGCTGAGTATTATGAGGGACAGTCCCAGGATTTCGTTGTTGCCGAAATCCGCCATCGTCGTGATTGGATTGATGAGAGCTCTGTTCGTGAAAATTTTTACCGGCGGAGCTCGAGCTTATGTAGGAGTCCGAATGTGTTTCAAATTGGCGTTTTCCTTCTTTGACTGGAATTCCTCCTGACCCAAATAAACAAAACCCAAACCCACGGTATCCATCCGAGTCAACCCGGTCAACACGGATAAAACCTGTGTTGACGGGTTTTGAGGCGGGTTTGGGTTTAAACCCGTTTACTATTTATCGGGTTGGGTTTGGGTTTAGGTAAACCCACCCCATGGGTACCCACCCACACTCATATAATTAATTTTTCCGGTATATTTAATATTCTAAACAACTAATCTTCTTTATGTTTGTGGAGATATGCCTAATTTTTTCTTTCTAATTGTGTAGAATGAAGTTGATATTATCGAGTAGAGAGTGAAGAAGTTTAATTGACAACGAGGAAAAAGCTTTCAATTAATTATGTTGTTTATGGATAATTTGTGATTTGCTTCAATTTTCATGAGTTTTCTAGATTGGTGTTGAACAATTTGTATGGTTAATTTGTGATTTGCTTGAATTTTCTAGAATGGTGTTTTATATATGGATAATTTGTATTGAGAGATTGATATTTGACTTTTATTTTGATAGGAACTTGTTATTGTAAATTTTTTACGACAAAAACCCATGGGTACCCATGAACCCGTGGATACCCAGCGGGTTGGGTTGAGTTTGAGTTTTTCAAACCTAGGGGTTTTTTTCACGAATAAACCCATGGGTTTGGGTTTGACAAAACCCGACCCATTGCCATCCCTAGACCCAAATCAGTAGGGGTGGCTATACGGTCCGGTCCGGTTAAATTGGCCCAAATTGATCTGGTCCGGTCCGATCTTTTTGAAAATATAAGGCCAAAAATTGGATTGGATACAATCCGGTCTTGACCTGGTTCGGTCCCAATTCGGTCTTGATTTTATATTTAGCTTGTGGGGATTTGAGTGGCCTAAGGCCTGAAAGGGTGAGGAGTTGGTTAAGTTTTGTACTAAGTGCAAAGGTTTGTGACCGTTTATGCAAATTACCCTTAAGTTTTGGGTGTTGAGCTCTCTTATCAGATCTTTATTCAGTTTTCGATCCGGTCCCGAATGGTTGTTTACTTCAAATCTAAGCCCAAAATTTGGATTAGATTGTTTACTATCCGGTCTCGGTCCAGTCTCGATTCAGTTTATACGGTCAGTATTGGGCTTTTGGCCCATATTCTTTGCGGAAGCAATCCAGACAATAGTGTGAAATAATGGTGTGCAACGTTACGATTCGGTGTGGACTAGATTGAACTATGACAAAGTTGGTCCAATGATCAAGAAAATTTGAAAACTTAAATGAGATTGGAGTTGATCTGTTCAAATATCGAATCTTTTTCTCTTTAGTTAAAAATTATAAAATTGAGAATTGAAACGTATTAAATCGGGTTCGATCCGACATGCTTCTGATGTCTATATGGTATAATGTGAACAAAAACCATGGGAGGGGTTATGTTGGATACCAAGTTTTAGTATCCATGGTGGTTATTAGGGATAATATGGGTATTTTGCATCCTACTTATTATGAACTACCATTTTAATAATGCAATTAATTAGGGAGAGAGGAGAGATAATTACGGAAACTAAATATATGGAGTTTTAATCACAGTAGGGGTTTGTTATACCAAAAATTACGGCAAGAAAATAATTCCGCAATGGGCACGCGACTCTAGGGGGAAATGACGTTCGTCGACGGTGCACCATCGCCGGATGTGGAAGAGGAGAGAAGGATAGCAATGAAGGTGTTGTTCGGAGAAAGTCCGACGTCGGACAGAGAGGAGATGGGAACGACAATGGAAAGGGAAGAAAGTAAGCATCTAACCCCTATTCTAACTCATTCTTAATTGTATGCTTTCGTTGAACGGCAAAATCTTAACATCGTTTTTGTTAGCAACCTCTTGGACAGGGTCAGAATTGACCGAGATCCGACCGGTAACGTAGGCGTCGGAGTGGACAGTTCCGAAGGAGGTGGGAATGGAAGCTTCTGTATTGGTATTTGTTGGAATATTGTTGGTAGTTCGATTAGCATTGGGATTGGTATTTCCTATATTGGATTGGTATTGTGGCGTACTTTGTCATTTCACATTGGTAATGGTTCTATTAGTATTTGTATTACGTGGGTGCATGATGGTGGCGTGGTTTCCTATTAGTTGCTATGGTAGTGATTAGTAATTGCAATGGTAGTTACCACACTGTAGTTATCAGTTACCGTAACGGTAGTGTTTTGTTTGTGGTAATATGACCTACTACAATGGTTGTTATTCATTGTTTCTTGCTCTTTGAAGCCCCACGATTTGAGTTCTTGGTTTTCGCCATTACTAAAACCAAAAAAATGGAAGGTAGCAACATTAACCAATGTTAGTGATGTATGAAAATGTAACCACCACTACTACTAGAACTGAACACTACCATACCACACAAAACTACTACCGTTGCATAGAATAACACACTACTACTGGAACTGAACACTACCATTCCAAACCAAACATCACAGGTATGCAGGTCATTATCAATGCGAGAAAAAAACCTACCATTCCAACTAAACACTACCATTCCACACCAAACATCACAATTCTGCAGATTACTACCAATTTATGAAAAGAAGCTACCATTCCAAACAACATGAAATCTAACATTCCAACTAAAAACTTCAATTCCACACCAAACTTCACAGGTCTGCAGATTACTACCAATGCATGGGAAGAACCTATCATTCCAAACAACCTAGAACCTAGATCACTACCAAAATTGACCACTACCTTTGCAAGCAACCTAATACTATTCAATACCAAACGACCATATACCAATCCATGCCAAACAAACTATCACAATCGCACATATACAAAAACGACAAGAATACCATTCCACAGAAAACAAAACTCAGATTAATACGATTTGAAGAACATGCAATGTCTATACAATAAAGCGCGCTATTACAACACGTTTACAACACGATTTGAAGAACTCTCGCCGATCCCACAACAACGAAACAACCAGTTGCCGAAACGTCTCTCGCTGCGCTGGGGAGAGAACTTGCGGCGCTGGAGGGGGACTGCGGTGACGGGAGAGGGATTGCGGCGACGGAAGAGAACTTCCGGCGCCAGATAGGGACTGCGGAAGGCGGGAGAGGGACTGCGGCGACGAGAATAGGAACGACACCAATCTTCCTTAATCGTTCTTGGGAGAGGCGTTGAGGAAGAAAAACTAAAAAGAATGAAAGATTCGAATAGGGAAAGAGCCCATTGATTTAGCTCCTAATGACGTCGTCGGTTAGGGAGTGAATCCTTTGGGTCTTTACCGAAGAAGCCCTCTAGCAAGATGGGCTATCAGATTCAATTCACTTAATTTCAATGGCTAGATTTAGGGTAGCCACGATGATTACTTAAAAAAGAGTAACCAGGTTAACGCATTCCCATTGTACATATGTAGTTTGAAAGAGGTAGGCATAGTTTACATTGTCATTATGTGAACAAAAACCATCGTTATATGGATCGAGCGACTTCCCGTTCAAGACTTTCCAAGTATGAATCAAGATTCATGCATTGATCGTTCTGAGTTCTAAACTATCACATGGAAAGTAAGCTGTCGTTAAGGCTAATTATCTTCTTATGGAGATCTTTTTAATGATTCGCTAATCTCGATTAGTTCTACAACTCTTTTGTTTTTCGCATAACCAAAATGGATTTCATCAAATCTATTCCCTATATATAATTTCCTTAAATTCAAAATTATTTTGTATCAGAATCTTAATGGTCATTACTCATTACCATTTGGGCATTCCTTAATGAGGGAAACAAAAGTCAGTCGGTGAGACATTTTATAGTGAAATCGTGATTCAACTGCTAATACTATCACCTATCGGTTTAGCCTCCAATACTAATATTTCACGGTTGAACTGTCAGTACCGTACGGTTTCACAAACCATATAGTCAACACCAGCTTACAACATTGCAAAGAAATTTTCTATTCTTTCATTCAACAATGAGAGCTCTACATCTACTCATCACTCTCTTAATCCTATTCCTTTCCACACCATCCGACGCCCTCCGAATCACCACTCGCCTCATCCACCGCGACTCGCGGTTCTCTCCGCTCTACGACGCCGCCGCGACCGCCGCCGACCGAGCAGAGAGATCGGTGCGAGCTTCCCTCGCCCGCCTCCAGCTGGCGTCGTCCCTGTCATCAACGACGTCGGATGACGATCAGGGCGCGGCAGCTGGGAATAATGACAATATTGAGGCCCCACTGGTTCTGGCCGTCAACCAGAACTTGTTCTACGTCAACTTCTCGATCGGCGAGCCGCCCGTGCCGCAGCTTGCCGTCATGGACACCGGCAGCAGCTTCTCGTGGGTGAAGTGCCTGCCTTGCAATCTCTGCTCCTCGCCGTCGCCGGGATCTGGGGCCACGTTCTTTGATCCGTTGCAGTCCAGGACTTACACGCCACGGTCGTGTACCAAAGAGTGCAGGAGGTGCACTACAGGTAATTAATTGATTCTACCAAACACTTGATATGTATGAGACGTGTCATAAGACGTGACATTGATTCTTGTTCATACACTAACTAACACACATCACTAACACACATCATGTTAATGAATCACGTGTGTCTTATTTAGTTTTTTGCTTTCTTTTTCTTGCTCAATTTTCCAATCCATTGAAACAGTCGTGACAAGCGGCTAAATCAGTAGAGCTCTCAAACCAGTTATGTTAGTGGTTTGGCCTGTTTGTTTCGATGGCCAGGAAGGGAGCTAACGAGTTTTAACGGCTGGACATGAAATCAGATGAATCAGCTCGGTTTGAGTGATTCACTGGTCCGCTATTTTAACCGTAAAATCATTAATAAACAAAGATACTTAATTTGATGTAAACTAAGACCGTCCAATATGAACCGTTAATTTTATATATGTTTTATTTATTTATTTTTTATTTCAGTTTCCAGCCTCCTTGTCGATTTTACATAGCTCTACTATCAATTGTGACTCTATTTACTAATTTGAATTTAATAAATTTTTCATGAGACGGTTTGAACGGTTTGTTACAACTTTTTAATGATGAAGGATATGAATTTGAAATTATTTATTGTTAGTAATAAATTCATTTCCTAAATTAGTGTATTGTATATATCTTTTATACTTTGACGCATAAACGATCGTGCTCATAATAGGATGGCAATAAAAAAAAAACCATTTCATTGTTCCCTAATTTGATAGGGCTCGATTTTCGTTCTTGGCTCTGGTCGACCAGCTGACTCTAGTTTATCTCGATTTTTTCGTTCAATACGAAGTATCTTTTTGAAAAAAAAAACCCCACAAACAACTAACTTAGTTCTAAAATTTACTAAAGAAGTTAATTTGCTAATAGGAACGGGACCCAGTTACTGCATGTACGCAATAGACTACCTCAGCGGCCATTCCTCCTCCGGAGTCTACTCCACCGACCAGCTGACCTTCCGCACCTCCGACGACGGCGTCACCACCGTCCCCGACGTCCAGTTCGGCTGCTGCCACAACCTGACCGGAATCAAGAAGCCCGACCAGCACGCCACCGGAATCCTAGCACTGAGCGGGAAACGAAGCCTGCCGTTTGGAGAGACGCCTCTGGTCGTCAGACTGGGTTCAGTATTCTCATACTGCATCGGCAGCATCTTCGACCGCTCTTACCTTTACAACCGCCTGTCCATCGGCGCCGGCGATGCGGACTTGGCCGGCGACTCGACGCCCTTCATCACCGACCACATCGGCCACTACTTTCTCCAACTTCAGAACATCAGCTTGGGAGGCCAGGTAAGTAGCTAAAAGGGGCTATTGCCATTCTCAAGTAGTTTTGATTTTGATTTTAGGTTATAATAATGTGTATATTCTTATCTTGAGATATCATAGAAAGTGGTAGGATATTTGACGAAGAAAAAAAAAAGATAGGGTTATAAGTCTCGCTCTATATATCCATTGACCCGGCCTGACCCGATACAGAAGGTATAACTGGGTCAATCTATCTACAGAGTCAGCTTAGAGTCTCGTTAAGTTTTGGTCATGCTGTAAGGATCCGGTAAGGTCGGTTTAATTTTGGTTGGGTCACCTTTTGGCTCTACGACTCATAACAACAACTAGTGGTTTGAAATTATGCATACCAACAGTATTGGAATTGTTTGTAGAGTTTTAAAAGTTCAGATACTATAACGCAAGGTAAATATATAAAGTACGAAAACGTAATTTTATCATCAAAACTTTTGAGTCTGTTGTAAAAAAAAAAGTACTAAATTATAAAAACATAATTGTGGGTACCAAAAAACTTAATTTTCCTAAACAATTTATCGATCGAACTGGGTTGACCTATTGACTCGGTTCGACCCGATCCAAGTGGGTCAGGCAGCTGGTTCAAGGAGGAAACAAGGATGTGACGGGTCAGTTTTGTAAATCCATCCTACACGAGCTTCCCTCTTCAATCATCAGCAACGGTTGCAACTTGTTATCTTCAGTCTCACCCCTCACTCTAATATTCCCAACTCCGCCATCACAGGTACTCGATATACCGAGCCAAGTGTTCACCAAGATCTCAAACCAACAAGGAATCACTCTGGACAGCGGATCGGAGCTGAGTTTCCTCTACACCGACGCCTTCGACGTGGTGAAGTCGGAGGTGCAGAAGCTGGCCTCCTCGGTGCTCACCGAAGTTCCCGGCGGCAAGGGAGCGTACGAGCTCTGTTACAGAGGCTCCGTGAACGTAGAAGCGCAAGGGTTCCCGGTGCTGGGGCTTCACTTCGCCGACGACGCGGATCTGGTGGTGGATAATACGGGGATGTTCTATCAGGTGGAGGAGGATGTGTTCTGCTTGGCGGTTCTTAGGTCGAACAGTGTTAGTATCGTTGGGGTGATGGCGCAGCAGGGTTACAATGTTGGGTACGACTTGAAGGCGTCTAGGGTTTATTTTCAGGACATTGATTGCCAGCTTTTGGAAGGGTAGATTGAACATGACTACATATGATTTTATTTTGTTTGCTCCATAGTGCAATTTTATATATTTATATGTAGTGCAGTGATAGAGTGATCAGCATGTCAAGAACCAGTTGATCCCAATAACTGTAACGAGTCGAGTCTGACCACAACCCTATCGTCCTCAAATGGGGCTGTTAGGAGAGGTTCAATCGTGGATCATATACCGTAACGAGTCGAGTCTGACCACAACCCTATCGTCCTCAAATGGGGAACTGATTCTCGCATCCACAGACCATGGCGATTTGAAAATATGTGGCTCGAAGACTGCAGGTTTTTCGAAAACATGGATGAATGGTACAATTCCAACACGCAAGGCCAAGGGCACATCCTCCGCTGGGCCAAGAAATTGCAACACCTGAAAAACATGATCAAAACCTGGAATAAAGAAGTGTTCGGTAGAATTGACGTCAAAATTGGTGAACTCCTATCTGCCATATCCGACATCGACAGAGCCGAAGAATCAGCCCCTATCGACACCAACATGAAGATCTCTAGAGATATACAGAGAGTGGAACTTGGCAGGCTTCTCAACCTCTTGGAGATCTCATGGCGGCAAAAATCTAGAGAGGTTTGGCTTCGCAAAGGGGATAAGAACACCAATTTCTTTCATAAAGTTGCAAACTTCTGAAAAAAGTTCAATAAGATCAGCTGCATCAAAATTAATGGCACCATGGTTGAAGGTCAAGAAGCGGTCGCGAATGGTTTGGTGGATTACTATTCGAACTTCTTCGAGGAAGCAATCCCCGACCGTCCTTTTCCCAGAACCCACACCAGTAGAGCTGTCTCCAACCTTGAAGCCATCGCCCTCACACGCCCTTTCAGCGAAGAAGAAATTTATGATTGCATCAATGATTTCGATGGCAGCAAAGCCCCCGGTCCGGACGGCTTCACGTGGGAGTTCTACAAGAAGTGCTGGGTTTGGATGAAGAATGACATTGTCAATGCTTTCTCAGAGTTTCATTTCAATGGCCGCCTTCCGAAAATTGCTACTCATTCTTTCCTTTGCTTGCTCCCCAAAAGAGATGTTGTGGAAGACACCAAGGACCTACGTACGTCCGATCAGTTTGATGGGTTCCATTAATAAACTTGTGAGTAAAGTCTTGGCGGGCAGGCTCAGCACGATTCTGCCGAAACTCACGTCCCACAACCAGCAAGCGTCAGTGAGAGGGCGCCAGATTGCTGATGCGGGTCTGATCGCCTTCGAGCTTGTTGACAGCCGAAAGAAGAACAAGAAGCCTGGCCTCATGTTCAAAATCGACATTGAGAAAGCATTCGACAACGTCAACTGGAGATGTCTGTACAAGGTTCTTGCTAATCTGGGCTTTCCGCCAAAATGGGTCGACTGGATCCGAGGCACTATGTGTTCCCCCTGGTTTCTATCCTCATCAACGGCGAGTCCAAAGGCTTCTTTCCTATGCACAAAGGCCTCAGGCAGGGGGACTCGCTTTCTTCGGGCCTCTTTGTATTGATAATGGACATCCTCGACTTCATGATAACCAAACTGAATGCCGTGGGGAAAATCAAAGGTTTCTGCATAAATGAAGATAATAACAGCGGCGAAGTCACCCACCTCCTCTTCGCCGACGACACCCTCATCTTCTGTGAAGCCTCGTACGATCAAGTCCTCAACATCATCGCCGCGCTCGTGTGTTTTCAAACGGTTACAGGGTTAAATATTAACCTGGACAAAACTGTGATGTTCACTGTTGGCGACATCCCAAATCCAGAGTACTTTGCCAATTTGTTCGGATGTAGATGGAGTTCTGAACCTTCCAAGTATTTGGGCTTCCCTCTCGGAGCTAAAGTGAACGCCATCTCCACCTGGAACTCTATCATCAATAAATACCAGAAGAAGCTAGAGGGTTGGAAGAGCAGATTTTTATCGATGGGAGGCAGGGTCGTCCTCAACAAAGCAGTTCTGTCTAGCCAAGCCGTATACCTATTTTCCCTGCTGAAGGCTCCGAAGACGGTGATCAAGCGCATGGAAGGTATTCAGCGCAGATTCATTTGGAGCGGCACCGGCAACGTCGACAAAATTCCTCTTGTAAGTTGGGACAGGTGCAAAGCTCCTCGATCTCAAGGGGGACTAGGCGTAACTGACTTGGAGAGCTTCAACGATGCAATGCTAAGCAAATGGCACTGGAGATTTGCCACCGAGGGTGAGAAATGGTGGAGGAACCTAATTAGCCATAAATACAGCAACTCTCACTCCCTTTGGCACGCCGGCAGATGCAGCAATGGTTTCGCCAACTCCGCTTGGGCCAACATCTCGAAGGTTCACAATAAGTTTTGGAACTCAACTTGCATCGATCTTGGTAATGGTGCTTGGTGTTCTTTTTGGCACGATTTTTGGATCCCCAATACATGCCTTGCCGACAACTTTCCTCGGGTAGCAGCGGCTTCGTCCGAACCTGAAGCAAGAATCTCCAACGTCAGAAATGGAAATGGTGAAGGTAACCCTTGGGACATTCAATTAAATTTCGTGTTGAGAGGGGGAGCTGAGCGAGAGTTTTCCTCTTTGCTTGATTTTTTGGTTAACCATGCTAACGACAGAATTTCCAGCTGGCCCAGCCGTCTTGTATGGCTCCCCGACCCGGACAAAGCTTTTTCTGTCCACTCTATGTACAGGTCACTTGTGAAGAATAAGTTTCAAGGAGATCCCAACTTCCCTGCCAAGTCCATCTGGAAGCAGATCATCCCATCAAAAATCTGCATCTTCCTTTGGCTGACAACCCTCAAGAGGATTCACACGCTTGACAATCTCAAGACTAAAGGGTGGACTTTGGCTAACAGATGCGCTCTATGTGAGAAAGAAGAAGAATCCGCCGACCACATGTTCGTCAAATGTGAGTTTAGCACAGAAGTTTGGAGCAAGTGCAGAGCCGCCTGCCCCAGTATCGACAACATCGGTGACAACATCTTCTCAACAGTCAAAGATTGGCAAAGCAGACCCCCAAACAAGCCGTCCGAGTGGATCAATCACTGCGCTTTGCACGCGATCACCTGGAGCTTGTGGCTTGAGAGAAATCGTCGAATCTTCCAAGACACTAGCCAAAGTTCCACAATCGTTGCTCGGAAAGCTTTCAAATCAATGCTGGAATGGCCAATTGCGATGGGGAAACTCACCAAAGAAGAAGGCAAACAATGGCTTGACGATCAGAGCAGAAGACATCTTTACAACGAACACTGAGCGTTTTCTTCCCGGCATGACTCTCGGTGCCAGTTCGTTCGCTTGCTGAATAAGGTTGGAGGTCCCGGTCGCAGTTGCTCTTTGTCTCGGAGTTGCAGCGGCTGGTGACTTGGACTCTGTTCTTGGCTATTATGTTTTGAGTGCTGGTGCTCTATGTGTTTTAAATGCCTCTGCAGTCGCTCCGTCGCTGATCCATGAGCCACTTTGATGGTCCTCTTCTTTGGACGCTGTGGAGGTTCTCCTTTCCTTTCCTTTTCCTGTTTTGTTCGTTGCCTTTGCGGCTGGTTGGTTCCCCACCCTGCTGCAGCTCTTTTTCCTTTCTGTTCCCCTTCTTTGTCGTTGTGTTTTGTTTGATTTTGCTTTGGTTCAGTGCTTCTGAACCTCTTTTCCCAACCTTGTACCTACTTTGGAACTCTTTGTTTCCCGATTTAATTTAATACTCATCACCATTATCAAAAAAAAAAAATGCAACACATGTGATGCGGTTACAAGTTTTGGTTTAGATTTCAAGGAGAAAAAAAGGGTTTCCCTCTAATTTTCGGTCTAGCATACCAGATAAAATGTTCATTTTTCACTCAATATGATTTGCATTGTATCGGACCAGACCACGCAGGTCTAATCTGGACCATATCATGTTTGGTTTGCTTTGATTACGTACGTTCTAACCACTCAACCTGGACTATAAACTGTGCATATGCATATATATGATATGTTGTTGACAAATTTCCAGACCTAGTTATGATTTCGTGAGATTAACCTCCTATCTCGATTCCACATCGTCAATTCTCGAAATATATTTTAACTCTTGTAGACATACTACAATACAATTCAATTATAGGCTCAATCGAGTCAAGTCAAAGTCAAAATTACCATCATCATTACCATCATGTAGACTATCCTTATTAGTAATCCTCACTCCTTATAACATACGGAAAAGAAGTTCTTTAGGCACATTGTTTTCAAGACTTTCCATGTCTATATGAACCAACACATTGATTATTCGAATCTTAGACTATTCACATGGAAAAAGTAACAAACTGTTCAAGGCCGATTCATATATTCCTGAACAGCTCTTTTCATGACTTACTCATTAGTACATTCGTGCCCTTTTCCTTACACTCATGCAAACAAGGAAAAGAATTAAACCCCCCCACCCCCTGAAAGCTCACTATATATAACGAACGTAACCATTCTCGTTATCGATCAACGCCAACTCTTAACTTTGCACCAAAGTTTCTTAGCTTTCATTCAACAATGAGAGCTCTAAATCTGTTCGTCACCCTCTTCGTACTCATCGCCGCATCGGCGTCGTCCCACGCCCTCAAAATCACCACTCCTCTCATCCACCGCGACTCGCGGTTCTCCCCGCTCTACAACGCCACCGCAACCGCCGCCGACCGTGCAGAGAGATACGTGCAGGCTTCCCTCGCCCGCCATGCATTCTTCGCCCGCCATGCATCCCTGATCTCGTCGACGACGATGTCGTCGGACGAGGATACCGTGAACATCGAGGCTCCGCTGCTGCCGGTCATCGACCACGCCTCGTTCTACGTCAACTTCTCGATCGGCGACCCGCCGGTGCCGCAGCTGGCCATCATGGACACCGGCAGCAGCTTCACGTGGGTGAAGTGCCTGCCTTGCACTCCTTGCTCGTCGGGCTCCGGCGCCGTCGCTCCGTTCGACCCGTCACTGTCCAAGACCTATAGCGCACGGGGGTGTACCAGTCAGTGCAGGAGGTGCACTACAGGTAACTAACTAATTCATTCTACGTAGACTAA